AGCACCGTGCTTTGCTATCCGGGATGTAGACAAATCCAAGGGAATGAAGAACCTGTAAGGATAGTACGAGGAATATTCCAGGGTGACAGCCTGAGCCCACTATGGTTCTGCTTGGCCTTGAATCCTCTAAGTACTCTACTGGAGGATTCAGGGCTAGGCTATCCTTTGCGGAGAAGGGGTTTAGTTATATCCCACTTACTTTACATGGATGACCTCAAGTTGTTTGCTCCAAACAAGAAACAACTGACGGAACTACTGAATATAACTGAAAAATTTAGTAGTTCCATCAGAATGGAGTTTGGAGTAGACAAGTGTGCGGTCATGCATGTAAAGCGAGGAGGGATTGTGGAATCTGAGGGACTAGAACTCTCAGATTTCACAAAACTGAGATCACTCTCCGCAAACGATACATACAAATACCTGGGTATGTCAGAAGGATTAGGCATTAATGGACCGGACATGAAGCAATCGTTACAGGAGCGCTTCTTTGGCCGCCTGAATAAGGTACTCAAAAGTTCCTTATCAGGCGGAAACAAGGTGCGAGCCTTTAACGGTTGGGTCATGCCAGTCCTAATGTATTCTTTTGGTATACTCAAGTGGACACAGACTGAACTTGACACCCTGGATAGACGAGTCCGGACCCTGCTGACTGCAAATCGCATGCATCACCCTCGTTCGTCGGTCATGAGGTTGTACATCCCGCGGAAGTGTGGTGGTCGAGGCTTATTAAATGCTAAGACCCTTCACAACCGTGAGGTGTGCAGCCTCAGGGAATATTTCCTGAAAGTCAACGAGGGTATGCATCGAGAAGTAGCAGCGGTGGACAATGGATTCACTCCACTATCCTTGGCAAAAGAGAACTGGCGCAAACCTGTTGTACTGAGCGTCAATGATCGCAAGGAGGTATGGCATAGCAAGGAGCTCCACGGACGCTTCTTCCGGGCCCTTCATGGGCCCGGTGTAGATTTTCTAGCGTCCGTGTCTTGGCTACGATTCAGTAATCTCTTTGGGGAAACTGAAGGATTTGTCTGTGCAATAATGGACGAAGTTATCCTTACGAATAACTACCGGAAATATATAATTAAGGATGGGACGGTTGACATATGTCGGGCATGTCATAGTCCCGGTGAATCTATTAGACATATTATTTCTGGTTGTGGTCGTTTGGCTAACAGTGAGTATTTGCATAGGCATAATCAAGTAGCCAAGATTATCCATCAGCAACTTGCTTTACACTATCGACTTGTTGATTCTGAGGTACCGTACTACAAGTATGTGCCCGACCCAGTTCTGGAAAATGACCATATCACATTGTACTGGGACCGGTCTATCATTACTGACAGGACTATTATAGCCAATAAACCTGACATAGTAGTGATAGACCGTCAAGTACGCCGCACGATGATAATCGATGTCACCATTCCCCATGACGAGAACCTCGTGAAAGCTGAGAAAGATAAACAAATAAAATATCTAGACTTAGCTCGCGAGGTTGTCGACATGTGGAGTGTGGATTCGGCTATCATTGTACCGATAGTCGTGTCGGCCAATGGGTTAATCCCTAAAAGCCTCGACATCCATCTCAGGAGGCTGGCGTTAGGTGGATGGATCAAGGGCCTGATACAGAAGGCAGTTCTCCTAGAAACGGCACGTATCGTGAGAAGGTTTCTGTCTCTGGAGCCCTAACCACCGGTAGCTTGGACCATGCTCCCGCTACTGGTCGGGTCCTATTTTTTATATTTTTAAATATTATTTTTTTTTATGTTGTAAGTAGTATTTAGAAATATAATTTATAGAGAATTTTAAATAAATATATGTAAATAATAATAATAATCAATTTTATTTCAGACTTAGTCCATATTTGTTAGTAACAATGTTCTTAATCTAGTGTTAGTAAAAATACACACAACAATCAGAGACAATAATAACATACAAATAAATAAATGAGTAATAAGTTAGTAACAATATTCTTAGCCGAGTGTTAGTAAGATACATAGATATACATATATACTTGTGATTATGTCAGGCACTTGCTCTCACGTGGAGGCCTATCCAGTGCGCCATCAGCACCGAATCCCAGCGTCCGGCACACGCGGCCAGCATGCCGCTAGGGCTGCCGCGCACTCTCGACATCATCGATGCACAGCGCTTACGCATGATGGCATGGAAGCCATCCACATGCGCCTCCGCGAACATGCCACTCGCACTACAGTAACGCGGCAGCCCCATCAACACCCTGAACGCGTTGTTGTACTGAACCCGGAGGGCGTTGTACGTCCCCTGCGTGTATTTAGCCCACAAACTGCATGTGTAAAATGTTTGGCAGAATGCCCTAAATAGTGTTACTTTCACTTCTTGGGCACAACGAGCGAACCTTCGAGCCAACATATTACAGCGGACACACAACGCCCTACGTTCTCTCGCAATGTCCATATCGTCCTTCAGGTCATCGGTAACCCAGTGGCCCAGATACTTGAAATGTGCTACTCGGTTTAAAGGCGTACCATAGAGTGAAACAGGTGGTATGTCTGAGAGATTCTTTTTTAATGCCTTAAAAACCATAACCTCACTCTTCTTTACGTTGTATCTGAGCCCATGAGCCTCCGCATACCTTTCACACGTACGAAGCAGCCTTCGCAACGCGCCGATTGATGGGCTGAGCAGCACCATGTCATCCGCATAACTAATATTATTTACGCAAACGCCATCTATGTGACATCCAACTCCTGTTCTGCTCAGCTCTCCAATCAAGCGATCCATGTACAAGTTAAAAAGTTTAGGCGAGGTCAGTCCCCCCTGCCTCACCCCGCACTCCAACCTGTACTCGTTCGATGTACTATCACCCCATCTAATAGTATTTTTCTGATTGTTATACCAATACTGGAATATTGATATAACCTCAGGACACAAACTAGTGTCTTGTCGCATCTTTTCCCACAATAGATCGTAAGAGACCATATCAAATGCCCGTGAGAGATCCAGAAAACAAGCGTATACAGGTGTCCTCCGTGCGGTATAGTAGTGAACGGTTTGCTTGAGACACATGATAGCACTTTCTGTAGATAGACCAGCCCGAAAACCAAACTGGCCATCATGTAGGTTTATATGTCTATTTAGATGTTTATCAAGCAGACCGTCCATCACCTTTGCTATAACCGTTGCCAACGAGATAGGCCTATAGTTTGACTCATCCGAGATGTCACCAGTTTTATTTTTTACAATAGGAACAACGATGGTAAACATGAGATCGTCGGGCAGGTAGGAGTGGCTGATACAAAGATTAAATAGCAAAGCCAAAACCCTCGGCAAATGTACCCCGGCATACCTCAGGTGCTCAATGCTGAGGCCATCATGTCCTGGTGACTTTCCTCTTTTGAAGGATTTTATAACTGCACTTACATCCTTCGCAGTGAATCTCAAATTAATATCATGTGATGTAGTCCCAGCACTGGACACCGACGGCAGGCCAGATCGTGCAGGCCTCAAAAACGGTTCAACCCTAAAATGCTGTCGAAACAACTTCGCAATATCACCCGCATCATTTACCCCTCCAACGCTCACGGGCCGGCTCGGTTTAAGATTAAGTCTGTTTGTTGCCTTCCAAAATTTTGAGAACTTATTATCAGAATGGTGTCGCGCTATCATATCCATTTTAATTTTATGTTGATTATTTGGACACCATTTTAATTTAGCCTTAAATAATCGCCTTGAGTTCGTCATCTCATTGAATAACCATCCAGAACTAGGTTAACTATAATGAAATTAATTAAATTTACTCTGTGACTGACACATAAGAAAGACCAAGTTTATGATAGTATGTTGGTTGTTAGCTACATTTCACCATTACATTGCTTTTTCTTTGTTTAGTGATGTGGGCTAATTTTAGAATGATAGGTGTATTGAGTTAACCCATTTTCTGTCACATTATTTATGTTTTGGGTTGTGTTGTCTGTGATTTGCTTCACTCATAACAAATCGTGCTTAACAAATTACCGATTTTATGCATTGGGAATATTTAGGTTACGAAAAATAGGTAAATTCGCCAATTATTGAATTTTCTTAAATTTTCCTTCAATATTTATGAAATTATAAATGCCTGAAATAATTTTATGTAAACGTTTTTCTCGTACATATTATCGAACTTTTATAATAATAATGAAAACATTATGTTAGAAACTAGTTCTTAGGCGCAATAGAAAGGAGAAAGTGTGTTGGACGACTGGTTACTTCATCACTTACGCCTAACTATTGGGTTGTACTTCCGTTTGCCGAAATTATCTTTTTATTCTAAATACTAACTAGGAAGCTATATACCTTATTCTATTAATATTATGAATGAAAACAATAAACTAATGAATTATCCTTCCTTATGTACCAGAAAAGTAGAAGATGGATTCTAATGTAGACTCGTATTTGTTTCGCGGACGTGGCCAAGTCAACTTTAATAAAATATGTATTTCAATCACTTGAATCTAGAACGCTATAGGAATATTAGTTATCCTGTCACGATTTACTAGATTCTGGCGTATCTATTACGTACAATTTAATAACGAATGAAGTTATAAAATTACTCATTAACAGTCGGAATTCGCGTGTCGATGACAAATTCTTACAATTTTAGTAATGTAAATGTTATTAATTTTCTGTTTCGTGACTCGTGGCGTACGTACGAGCTACCTGGCTTTCAGCTAATGATGATATGGCGCAAATGTAATCTTTCTTAAATATACTTTTTGATGTCCAATTTAATTATGTTTACAATATTAGAAGCGACGGTGTCAGTTTTTCCTTGTTATCTACCGATTTTGCAATCAATATTTACTCAGAAAAATATTTTTTTGGGTAAATAAAATTTATTAAGCATGTCTAATGTTTATCAATTTTGATGAGTACATGGCCTTATTTTTATTGCAAGAGATAGAAGAAGTCGGGATTTTCCCGCTCCCGGACAAAACCCCTCACTTAAAATTATTTTATTTGTAATTTAATGTTTGGTTCAGGTGGTCCGTAAAGGCAAGAATGTGTTGCCCACGGTAGCCCGCTTGTGCCTCATCTCCACATTCCTCGAGGATGGTCTCCGCATGTGGTTCCAGTGGTCAGAGCAGCGCGACTACATGGACATGTCTTGGGGCTGCGGCAAGATCCTCGCCACAATGTTTGTTGTAAGTACCACCACATATTCCTAAAAATTTTGCTCAAACTCGCACACCTGCGTCAACATCCGAGATTCTACTAATTTATAGGCTCGAACACATCAGTCATTGCGAAACTGGCTTTTACTGTTCAGAGATAAATACCAATGTCCATTGACACTACTGAATCGTCGACAAAGTTCGCGGTTCATAACATTGTTGAATATTGAAATTGTAAGTGAATAAGTACCTACCTAGTTTATTTCTCAAGGTCGCGCTCATTATTTATGTCAGATTTTGGTTATTAGAATTCCATCCGTACAGTTACTAGGCGGGAAATACTAATCTTCTGGTAAACCCATGCTCTTGTCAATGAGATATTTTAATTAATTATCATTCTTTATCGTTATCGTATTTTTTTTCTATAAAACCCCGAGTCACTTATCAATAGGTTTGTTTAAACTTCAATACGTATCTGTAAAATATAGTCTTTTAAAGCATAGCTTGGGATTTTTTACGATTTAGTCTGTACCAATCACATCTGAAGTGTTTGTCTTGCAATTTTCACATCATATGCTGAGATTTTTAACTGTTTTTGTTATTCTGAATGTGTGACTGTGAGCGCATAAACGGAAATCATGATGAAATCTCAAAACAATCATCTTGTGTAGTAATTATTTCTACTTATCCATTTCTCTCTGCATCTGAAGTAATCCGAACTCTTTTACTACTGAACATTTCAAAATCGAGCCCAAAATTAACCGCATCTAGTAGTCGCACTCGCACTCAAGGCTAAGGGCTAAGAAAACTCGGAAGTAGGGCTTTATTGGAATATCGCATCGATATTCCGATAGGTCTAGCCGTACGTGTATGTACGTCAGTAGACCTGTCTGTAGCAAAGATCCAGGTATCCAAATGTGAACAATTAAGAGATAGCTAATTTAAATAGAGTGTTTATAAATTGCAGCGTATGTTTGTAAGTGGAAACAACAATATAATTAGTTGGCACCACACCTGCTCTACATTGTATGCCACGTGTTTGTTCACAGCACATAAATATTACTAATTACTTATTGATATCATATTTATTTTGCATATTTTCACACTGTTACGAGCGCCAAAATTAACTGCAGCTTCTGTTCTTTAATTACACTATGCACGCTTCGTAAATTATATTTATTTTTGTGAATAACGCATTTTATTCTGTTTATTTATTTTATCGAGACGATTATAAAGGTACATTTGGACATTGAAACCAAGACAAGAATTGATGTTATTGCCAATGCTCATTTTATTAGCGTATTAAAAAAATGATTTTTGTCGACTAATATATTTTATTGTATTCTGAGAGAAGCAACGACACGATGATGTCGAATGATTTGTAAATTAATTATTGTAACCATTGTATTGTTGGAATTTTAATACAATATACTCCTCAAAAAGCCATTGATTAATGATTTACTTATCAATACTTACACGAGTAAATTATTTCATCGCCCCATCACCATAAGGGTGCATTGTTGCGAGATTTATTAATCTTGTGTGGCTGAATGATTTTGAACTGAAACAACTATAGACGGCGATTCCCGGACTGACCATGTTTCTGTAACCACGCAAGCCATGTCTAAACTGTACCATAAGTACTTGGAAATAATAAAATATTAACTAGTTTGACTCTTAGTTTTGTTACTGTAATAAATAACATTGAGGAAATTTGTACCCGCACTCTTATCGGGTTTAAAGGTTTACAATAAGCACTATGATTGTTTTACACGAATATAAGTATGGTTTAATATTAACCTGGTACCTATGCAGTGTAATGTTCTTTTCTTCCTTTTAAAATCGTAACATATCCATAATTTCACGCTATTTTGGCGCAACACTTTCGTGCGTAGCTTTTTAATTACTATGTCGGTTTTTACATAAAGTGTTTCGGAGTGTATCTAGTATATTCTACCGTTGCTACGCGCCTTCCTAATGTAGGTCGCATACTTATTGTATTTTTGTACTTTAATTAGGTAAGTGAGGAACGTATGTCGCCCGGCGGGGGATCTTTATGCCCCATAATGGGACAGACTTGACTATTATTTCGACGGTAATCTCAGAAGAAATTATGGCTTTCTGATTGCCTCGTCCAACACAAGCGATTATGTTTTGGTTTATTCCTAGTAGATCGGGCAAATCGATGCTTGCTTTTTAGTCAATTATGCTCAAATGTCAATGTTATACGGAAAATGTGTTCATGCGTGACGATTGGTGCCGCAAATAGGTCTGCCCTCTGATTCATAGGTAATTAAAACTGTAGGTACCGTACATTTTACTACTGTTACTATTCAACGAAAAACTAGACACGTTTTCTGAATCATCTGAATTATCTTCCCTTTGCCAAATGACTTGAATGTCTTCTTTTTGTACTAGAAGAAATAATAAAGTAAGTTTTGAATGTAAGTGACAATTAGTTTGGTTTTATTTACAGATAGTAAACTTAGTTGGACAGCTGGGCGGCTGTGTGATGGTGCTGGGCAGGCTCAAGGTGGACATTGCGTGTGGAGTACTATTCTTCATTGTTGTACTACAGGTGAGCATCCAGATATTGTATGTTTGTGTGTCATTTACATGAAAGCTGCTGTACTGATTTCTATAAATTGCAAGTGAGTTCGAGTTTAACGCAAAAAGTAATTATATCCTGTTCGTCCAGCAGGATATGTGGATATAGCGTTAGTCTGTGTTAATTAGTGTACCTAATCTATGATTTACATTGTTATCGTAATAAAGTTGAAGCGAAAAAAACAACTGGACGTATTTGGATAAAATAGCAAGATTTAAAAAATAAGGAAATTTCACGAATCTTGTTCGTCGAATGTCGTTTTCCTATGTAGGCACCTAATGATGTTATTGTATTGTATGGAGATTCGTAGTAATGCGTTGACACGGTCGGCTGACTTCAGGGTCGTTACCCCATCAAGACACAATAACCAATATTATTTTTAGTCGTCATTATTTTATCACTAATTTAAGTGCACGTCACAATTCCTGTATCCAGCAGTTTTTATAGATTTTTTTTACTGAAGGACAATGTCTTGTCACGATGACCTTGCATTTTTAATCGCCATGATGTGCGAATTTTTGTGCAATTCCAGTTCCGCTATGATCAAATAGGTATTTACTGTCGGTTTTCATGGTTTTTTTGTAGGTACCTAAACAATCAGCTGATGTACCTATTGTCAAGATATTTAGTAGGCTATCTTCGAGACGAATGAAATGAATTGAGCGTATATAATTTATGTGTCCATTGATTCTAGTTGCCTTATGCATAATTTATGATGGTCGCTATGGGTAGTTTATAATATCCAATAGTAAATATTACTTAAGAATTTTGTACCATGTTTAATATGAATGAATTATGAACTAATTTTCTTCAGTGCTGATATCTAATCCATCTCTTTTCCAGACATTCGCCTACAGTATATTATGGGACATGCAATTCTTGCTCCGTAACTTGGCCCTCATTGGAGCCCTACTGCTAGTGGTGGCAGAGGCCCGTGCTGAAGGCCGAAGCCTCTTCGCCGGAGTGCCGTCACTCGGAGAGAACAAGCCGAAGACCTATTTGCAGCTCGCTGGCAGAATACTCCTAGCATTCATGTTCATCACGCTGTTGAGATTCGAGATTTCATTCTTACAGGTTAGTAGATGTTCCTAGTACTTATATATTTTGGTTGGCGAATTGGTTAGTGCCGTTGTTGATACGTTAAATTGTTAACTAACTGCAGGTCTACGACTGTCAGTTGCCATTCATATATAATTACATCGTATTGTATTGGTTTTGTAGGAAGTGTGAAGTATCATACTTTTGTAGGAAGTGAAATGTTGTTGACCAGGATGAAGTCAAGGAAGACTAGTATTTAAAACACAAAATTCTTAAAGTGCAACGCGAGGCTTGCAAACTTAGTTCATTCAAATTGGGAATCAATGTGAAAATATCAAAATCACTCCTACACATATTACTAAGTTACAATGAGTCGATATTACTTAACATTTACATTTCACATGGTGACCTTTTTAATATTAATTAATTTAATATGTAAACTAGGTGACATAATCAGGTTGGCGAATCATTGAACACGTCTTCACATAAAGTATGCTAAGTTAACGAGTGACGTCATAATGTACGGTTGTCGGAATATTTTATTATTAGACGGCCGGCTTTTTTATTTGCATATTGGAATTACTTTCGATTTTTTACCGGGACGATTTTTTGTGGCGTTTTTGCTCAATGAATAATGATTTTAAATGAGAATGGACATAGCAAATATAAAAACTTGTTACTTTTATAAAACACTACGGGGGTAGACAGAAATGAGTTGGCGTCACATACCTAATTCTACAGGAAAACTAAAGTAGTCTCAGATATATCAGTCGCTGCTCCCAGTCGTGCAGTTGTGCCCTAAGTAATTCTCCTCATAAATGTCTCCAGCATAAATTCACCGAAGTAAACAAAGAAGTGAAAACTATAGTTTTTTTGTTCTCCTCTATTAATATCTTCTGATTTATTTTATTGCGGGATTCAAGACATGCATACCTTGTCCCATGCATGTCCCTGGGAAGCGCTGGACTTCAGTAGTCCGGTATTTGAATGACTGTATCTACTGTAGTTCCTGGCTTACATACAGGAGTTGCAGCGGTTTAGGGAGGCTGTGGCAGACTGGTCCTTTAAAAAATGTCTTAGATATAGGAATTGAATTCACGCATCTGACCATTTTCCTACATTTTAATACCAACAAAGATATCCAAGGTTATCTATAAATCCGGCAGGTAGTTCGCTATTATATATTAAATAATAGTTATCGTTTCTAGCTGTTTTAAATTCTAGAACTCTTGAACAGGTTTACAAAAAATGTTTATTTAAATAAATCTTCTTCCGCGTATGCTGTGAATATTACTTGCTTTTTTAAACGCGTTTTTTAAAGAATCTCGCTATCGCTTATTGGCACTGTTCCTCAGTAACTTGACGCACCATTATGTTTCTTCTGAGAATTGTTCCAAGAAAACAATCTCAAATTCTCAATTACTTTTTGAACGTATAAATTTTAAACATATTATTTTACTATAGTTCCTTTTCCCTGCAGTTTCATTTACATTGATCAAGTTTAGGACTGTCGTTGTAGCATTTTTTGGAGACTTTGAAAGGTGTACATTTCACGAGAATGTGTGTAATATTTTCAGATCGTGCAAGACCTGCTGGGCAGTATCCTGATGATCTTGGTGACGGTGGGCTACCGTACCAAGCTGTCTGCTCTGATGCTGGTGGTGGTGCTCTCCGTGCTCAACCTGTACCACAACGCGTGGTGGACAGTACCCTCGTACAAGCCTCTCAGGGATTTCCTCAAATATGACTTCTTCCAGGTACAATATAATTTCGGATCATCGGACTTTTGTTCAGATAATGTATCGGGAATAGAATGGCAAATGCCTCGACTATGATGTTTATCTATTTTTGTCCCCACACTTATCATTGCTTCAATTCAATACGGCTTATAAGGTTGTGCACAATGTAAATAGTTAATTTTCTATTGTCTGTTTTCAGACCTTATCTGTGATCGGCGGTCTCCTTATGATCGTGTACTTGGGCCCGGGCGGTGTCAGTATGGACGAACACAAGAAGAAGTGGTAGAATCGCGACCGGTGTGTACAATGTATGCACATGTTAAAGACTATTGATATTTTAATCATAAGATGTTATGGTGCAAGAGGAAAGAAAAAATTTCATATAATTTGGTGTTTTTATGTGACAATCTGACTAGTCGGCGATATTGTGAACATTGAGCTTACTTCCATATCCTGTTCTGTTGTGCTGTGGGCAGTTTGCTCTTACCTAGTTTAATGTACAGGGTGCTCCAAGGCGTCTCAGTACGAATAATCTGACGCATTTGGACGATGTGAAGTTTATTTATTTTATTTAGTACAAACTTCCCTTCTTCTGATTGTGTCGGATTCATTTTTTGCTGATCTATTTCAATGGGACACTCTGTGTAGTAAGTTTTGTGGGACGAAGTCTTGTGCAAATAGTTTGTGTTAACCCAAGATGGTACTAGGTCGATTTATAAAACGGCTCAGTTTACAGTGCGTAATGGTATTTATTTATAATACCAATTAAGTGAAAAAATATAATACGTATAAAAACACGTCGTAAAATAAATAAGGATTCTAGTCCTGCAAAATGATGTTGTATATATTTGAACTTTGTTATCATGTTTTATATAATTATATTGCACGCAAACTGCCCATAACCAAACAACAGTTGGTGTCATAACACAAAATTTTATATAAATGTGCACGTATTTGGTCGATCAATAAAGTATGGTAAGCAAATAGGTAACGACCCGGTCTATGACGTACGTTTTGATAATGAACTTATATAAACGCATTCATAATTTCTATATTGTCAATTTTTTATATTAGTAATTTAGTACTAGCACTGTTTAACAGATAGTGTTGTGAATCCCAAGACGCAGTAAGCATGGTTGCAGCATTGTATGGTCATGCTACTGCGAGCATGTGCTCGAAACTACAAAACTTATGTGCAATAACCTTAGGTCACATCATGCCGAGTACAACGCCGACGATACTAAATATGTGCTACGTTTTTCGCAATATTTTAAAAGCGCGTATTTGAGATGATGTGAGCTAGCTATGTTGACGAGTTGTAAGAACGCAAGTAGAAATATTTACAAGTTGCAACACGAGGCATCACAATGCGTCACTGCGACACAAACAACCTCAAGTTTGCGATGTGAGTCGGGCGCATGTCTGTAGCACTCCAATCAATGCTGCGCTCAAGCGTGCCAAACCGTAAACTCCCTTCCTTCCCGCGTAGACGTGATATTTTCTTAGCGATCCTCTCCTTTGCCTTTAAGTGTATCTACTCAGACTGAACCACTCCTGCTTTCATTCTCTTAACGCGTTACATTTTCATTCCATTTTGTTTCTAATTGTTGTTATTCAATGTAAATATTTATATGAAATTATATCTATTTTGTACTTACTGACTGAATAACCGACTACAGATCTTTGATTGTAAACGCAAATGCTCTTTTTATGAATTTGAATATTCCAGTAGCCATAAGTGAAACTTTGGTATCACAATTCGAAGATTTGTGTTTCATCTACCTAACGAAATAATAAAATGTAGTCATATACAAAATAATTATTTGATTTATCAAAAGTATTTAAAAGACACATATTTTTGTATTATTTTTTATTTATTTTCTTAAGTTTCAGTTTGGCCATAGTTATAAAGATTCCTGAAAAGATTGTTCCGAATAAATTTTTATATAATAAAAATGTTTTATTTGTAAACTGTTTACATTGTTTCATATAAGACCCACCATTGAAGGATACAAGTTCATTGTACTCACTATTGTTATGTTGCATAGTAACATTATGAATGAAAAACGATTCGCTTAGTTGTGTAAAACATTTATTCTTTGTATAATTTGTTTGTATAATTATATTAATTGAACATCTACAGGTGAACACAACACATTGTGCGTCTATTCTTTCGCCTTTGCTCGTTCTTTGTCCTTAGTTTCTATATATTTGAACACTTTGTTGGCTAGTTGTCTATATTTCTCTGCGTGTATGCTGTCGGGCAGAGCGTATATCGCTGGCTTGCCGCTATTTATGCACTCTGACATGTTATGATCCACTTCGAAGCTTTCGATTATTTCGAGTCCCATTTGGTCTGCGGTTTGTTTAGTGTCGTTACCAAACACAAAATTCTTCGTGCCACATTTGTAACAAATGGCGTGTGACATGTTTTCCACCATGCCGACAATAGGAACTTTCAGTTTCTCAAACATATTCACTCCTCTTTTCGTGACTTGTAGGGCTGCTGACTGGGGTGTGGTCACTACTAATGCTCCTGTAAAATTATTTTATCAAATTAATATAGGTACACAGTTACAATACAGTAATTAATTTTTTTTTATTATTATCTATGGTTTTAGGGACTTTTCGTTTAGGAACATGTCAGCCCCGTACAGTAATTAATGAGTAATGTTATCAATTTAAACACTACACTTCATTTCATACACACTATGTCACTTACCATCTATTGGCAAGTTCTGTGCAAGTGATAGATGTGTGTCTCCAGTGCCGGGCGGGGTGTCGACCACGAGGCAGTCTAGCGGCCCCCACGCCACGTGTCTCGTCAGTCTGTCCAGCGCCTGCATCACCATCAGCCCCCGCCATACCACGGCATTTTCACCAGATACTAGCAGGCCCATTGACATACTGGAATGTGATATAAACAAGTCAAGATGGGACAACTAGTTGAAAGATTCTCCATTATTAACCTGCCATCCCGTGGCTACGGCTTACGAAAATTTCGTTATGTAAGTTTTGTTCTATTTATAATAGTATGAGTTGCCATTGCCATCGCACTCATGCATGTCTGTGGATAATCCTAGACAGATAGTTCTAGATATTTCTCTTTACTTAATTTACTTACATAATTATAACAATGTAATTTCAGATAACTTTTTACTTGTAACAGTGATAAGATAAAGTTATTATTAAGTTGTGTATTACCTAATCATTAGGTGTGCACATCAAAATATTACACAGATAAATAAGGGACTCTGCCGTTGCCGGTCCCAAGCCCGGATGAGAAAAGAGGAGGGTTGGCTGTGAACGACAAAACCTTACCAGCCTACAAACACCTAGGCATGAAGACAGCCGTAAATATTTGTCAACGCCGAGCCCAGGCGGCGGAAAATACCCTGATTCTGCCTGTCTAACCACAGGCAGCTTGGTGGTAGGAAATGCCCTCCAAATACCGTAAACCCAACAGGGTTGGGAGCGGTAGCCTTGGCTTAATCGCCCGGACTGCGGGGAAGAAAACCTCTCAACAAATTACCCCAAATTCTACGGTGGGATACGCGCCAAGAGAATGCATGGCTGGTGGGAAGCCTAGTCGCTAGCGCCAACCTCGGTGGACCAGGCAATCACCGTTGAATTAGCCTTCTTGTGGGAATAGCCGTCACCCTACAAGCGACCCTTATCGTGCTTACTCGTGGGAACAACATGAATAAATATAATGATCCTAACTCCAAAAAAACCTATACGCAACAAATATTTCATCCCGGACTATTCAATAGACCGAGATCACAATCCCTCAGCGAACAGCCGAAGGAGCCCAAAGATACTACTACTCAACCACCTAATAACACTAATATTACAGAAGACCACACAAAAGGAATGTTGCCTAAGCACCCTGAATGGCAAAGGTCCCCTGAAATTCAAAGAAACAGCAAGAAAAGAAAATTACTAACCTCACCAAAACCTAGCCAGATAAATGTCTCGAATAGCTTTGATGGACTAGAGATCGATGCAACAGGAGACAACGACAAGCAAAAACGGACAAACAAGCCCCCACCACTAATCCTATATGGAGTAGAAGATATTAACAAACTTAAAGAGTTAATATTAACAACAATTCCAAAAACAGACTACTGTATCAAAATAATCAACAAAAATCAGCTGAAAGTAGTCTGCGATTCCCCTGAGGCATACAAAAAATTAATGTCCCTGGCAAGAGAAAACGGTCTTATCGGCCACACGTTTACAAGAAAAGAAGATAAATGCTACAGGGTAGTCATCAAAAATCTACACTATACAACCCCACATTCTGAAATTGTAGAAGCAATAGAGACGACTGGCAACAAAGTCAAGGGCGAAATAATAAACGCTAGATTTGGGCCCGATAAACTCCCTACCTCTACTTTCTTTGTGAACATAGAACCAGGACCGAACAATAAAAATGTAAAGAATATACGACATATAGCCAACACTATCATCAAAGTTGAAGACCCAAAGAAGCGTAACACTGTCGTTCAATGTACAAAATGCCAACAATATGGGCACACGAAAAACAACTGTCTGCGCCCTTACCGATGTGTAAAATGTGCAGAAGCCCATAAAACAACAGATTGCCCAAAGCGAGAACGAAATACTCCGGCCAAATGTGCATTATGTCTTGGAGATCATCCAGCCAATTACAAAGGCTGCCAAGTGTACCAAGAAATTGCTAAGAGAAAAAGGGGAGTCAAAGATTTCACCCAACTAACACAAACATGTTCCAACAGCAAAGCGCACCTACTCTTTACAACAAGGCTGAAACTCAAGCCAAGAGACCTGAAGAAATCAGTCACGAAAAGAGGCTATACTCTGATATCCTCAAAACCAACCCACAACCACAGCAAAAAGCTGAGCCAACTCAGGTTATTTATGACCTAATGACCAAACAAACAGAAAAGTTAGACATGTTATTACAACAAATAAGCACCCTAATGGGACTTATAATTAAACTTGTTGAGAAGCTACAGAGCTAAATGCACTTAAAATTGCGACCTGGAACATCGATGGCCTAGCTCCAAATGTACACGAGGTCGAAACTCTTATTAGTTATTACAATTTAGACATCGTTCTAATATCAGAGACACACTTCACACACAAAAGCCAAGTACGCTTAAAAAATTACAACATATACAGTTGTAATCACCCAGACGGTACAGGACACGCCGGGGCAGCTGTTATAATTAAATCCAACATAAAACACCATCCACTACCCCAATTCCAAACCGTAGAAATTCAGGCTGCTAACATAGCCTTAGAGAGTAAATACGGCACTGTGAATATCTCAGCAGTATATTGCCCACCGAATAAGAAAATAACAGTGAACATATTAAATGATTACTTCAAAATTCTTGGCGCAAAATTTATTGCAGGGGGGGACTGGAACTGCAAACATACCCACTGGGGCTCGAGGCTCATAACAACAAGGGGCAGAACACTAAAACAGGCAATCGAAGGAAACAAGCTCAAACACCATTCTACCTCAGAGCCCACCAATTGGCCTTCAGATCCTAATAGACAGCCAGACTTACTAGACTTTTACATATCGAAAGGACTACCCAATAATATAATAATAAAAACTGAATCCTGTCTCGATGGCTCATCAAGTCACACACCGGTAATAATAACAACAAGTGCTATGGCAACACAACGCGAAACCCCACTTAGGCTACACAATAAAAATACAGATTGGGCATCATTTCGAGAACTGGTTGACCAACGCCTTGACCTAAAAATTCCCCTAAAAACCCCATCAAACATAGACGACGCCGTTAAAACCTTCACAGAAGTGATACAAAGATCTTGTTGGGACTGCACACCAGAAATATCGCTACAAATCTCGGGCAATAAAACGTTATCGTGGGATATTCGCAACAAAATAATAGAGAAACGTAGACTCCGACGTATATGGCAAATTAGCAGAGTAAGATCAGACAAAACTGCATACCACAAAGCAGCAACAGCACTAAAAGAGTTGATCAAAGAAACTGAAGACAAAACTATGCAAACTAAACTGGAAGCACTGACCCCCACAATGGCAACCAATTATTCTCTCTGGAAAATTACCAGAAACATGGACCAACCCCAACAATGCAAACCCCCTCTCAAAAATAGAATTGGAAACTGGGCAAAAACAAGTAAAGAGAAAGCAGACTTGTTTGCTTGTCACCTGAAATCAGTGTTTACGCCAAATAAAAGAAACAGCGACACTGACGAGAACGACATCATGCAAGTCACAAACGAAGACTTCCAAATGGATTTGCCCATCAAACCAGTCAGCCCAAGAGAGGTAAAGCAACAGATAAAGCAGATGAAAGACAAGAAAGCACCGGGCTTTGACTTAATCACCAAAGAGGTCATAAATAACCTACCAAGAAAAGCCATAGTCTACCAAACCATAATCTTCAACGCCATTCTAAGAGTCGGTTATTTCCCATTCCTATGGAAAGTATCATCTATAATTATGATACACAAAGCAGGTAAACCAGTCCATGAGGTGTCCTCATATCGACCAATCAGTCTGTTGCCAATCGCATCAAAAGTCTTCGAAAGGCTTCTACTAAACCGTATCACACCAATCCTAAAAGAAAAGTCGATTATACCCAAACACCAATTTGGATTCAGGCAGCAACATGGCACCGTGGAACAAGTACACAGAGTTTGCGATACTATTAGAGGTGCTCTAGAAAGAAAGCAATACTGCTCATCTGTCTTTCTAGATGTGCAACAGGCTTTCGATAGAGTATGGCACAAAGGCCTATTATGCAAAGTAAAAAAATGCCTGCCACACCCATTTTACGGAATTCTAGACTCATACCTGACAGAGAGAACCTTCCAAGTTATTGAAGGCGACTCTGTGTCGACTCTTAACGACATATCAGCGGGAGTTCCACAGGGCTCAGTGCTCGGACCTGTCCTATATAACATCTATACCTCAGACCTGCCCCAAATGCAAAATGTAACAACCGCAACCTATGCAGACGACACGGCAATATTGGCGGTCAGTAACAACCCCGTTGTAGCCACACAAAAACTTCAAGAAAGCCTCGACGCAGTAGATGAATGGTTAAAAAAGTGGAGAATTAAATCAAGCTCAACTAAATCAGTCCAAGTCACTTTTACTCTTAGAAGGGAAGAATGCCCCCCAGTAAAACTCGATGGCGAATTCCTACCACAAAGCGACTCGGTCAAATACCTAGGCCTACATTTGGATAGAAGGTTAACCTGGAAAAAACACCTGCAAGCGAAGAGACAGCAACTAAAACTAAAATACAGCAGCCTCTATTGGCTCCTGGGACGCAACTCAAAACTCTCAGTGGACAACAAACTTCTCATATACAAAACCATCCTAAAGCCTATCTGGACCTACGGTATCCAACTGTGGGGTGTGGCCTGCAGATCGAACATCAACATTATACAAAGATTACAGAACACCATATTGAAACATTTAACCAATGCACCATGGTTCATACGCAATGATGAAGTGCATGAAATCCACCAAATTAATACAGTCATGGAAGAAGTTAAGCTACATGCTAGTAGATATGCATCACGGCTGAAAAAACACCCCAATGAACTGGCAACCCAACTCACTATGCCTGCGTACACAAAGCGGCTGAAAAGACGAGACTTCATGGAACTTGGCTACCCAAACTCCTAGGCTGGCCTCGAAATAAGAGACTGATCTCTTAATGGAGAGATTCGTCTACAAGTGAAATGACGTCCAAAAATTTGCTCATGGTCAAGAGACTGATTGCAAATAAACATACAAACAAAAAAAAAAAAAAAAAAGATAAATAAGGGAACTTATTTTGATGTACTGAAAAAAAAAGCAAATTTGCACTAACATAGAGTCCTAAGCAGTACCTTGATGGACAATGAAATAATTGTGTTAATTTTTGATACTCAGTGACTTAACTCATACCATTTGACACCATAGTTCAATAGCGGCTCAATCAGGTGATCATCATTCAGCATGGGCTCCCCACTGATGTTCATCATTAGGGGCACTGATGGACCAAATACATCAGCATCCAAGAGACCAATCTCCTTATCAGGCTCTATCACCTTCATGGCACATGCGAGATTCACTGCAATTCAAAAATAAATTGTATTTTAAAACTATGTTAGTTATATTGGCATAACTATATTCTCTGTAGTCTCAAATTTTTTTTTTAAGGGGAGAAAATCATCAATGAGGTGGGAGGGAGTGTCAGACTCTTACTAATAACCACCCTGTTCCTTCTCCTGCATGTCGTGCCGGAGCCCCGGTAACCCGTTATGTTCTCCGCGACAGTGTAGTCTGAAAATTAGAGCATGGTTTTTTCTCTTGATTTAGATTTGGAGGATGATATCCTCAGTTATTAGGTTCCAATAGTGTTTTGAGTATATTGAACCATATAGTTCTCTAATCTAAAAAATTGTTCTCAAAAAGGATAGAAGCAATGTTGTGATATTTTTAACCTATCTACTTACTGAAGAATCACAAATCAGATCTATATGTTTCTTTATGAATATAACACAAGTATTGGTTAAATAGTACAAACCAGCAGTGGTGGTCTTCCCAACCCCTCCTTTTCCTGATGCAACTAGAATGATGCTCTTCACTCCTGGCAAGGGTTTCCTCTCTGGTAGCCCTTTAGCCATCACCTTAGCCCTGTGCTCGTTCACCTCTTCTTTTGTATGCTTTAGACGGACTGAATAACAACATGGTGCTGCCTGAAAACAAAGTATATTACTACATTAGAGAGCAAAGTAATTGACTGAAGGTCATACAAAAGGAGTGCACTTGAATGAAGAGACAAAAATAGTAGCAAGTGATCCAACTGGTATACTTGTGGTATTAATTATTACGACCAAAGGGTCGTAATAAAGATTATGGGATACTTCACATGAATGTTTCGTTAAGTCGTGAGGAAAATCTAGAAATATATAACCAGCGTAGTTCCTTAAAATAACACGTTATTAAAAAAAAATATGATGAAATTGCACGTACCGTGTTCACATTAGTGTTCAACAAGACGCCGTAAACTCGCTGGAAAGCTCTTTGTAGGTTCATACCTGTTAGCCTCTACGTCTGTAAATAGACTTCCTATAAAATTAGCTTTATTGATTTGTAATTTGTACAGCTTTTTTTCAAAATTCGTGATTTACTACGCAAATCGGTCGTTCAGAAACACAATGCCAAACAAATCGATCACGATCGTTTTATGTCAGTGTCAAATTTAACCACATGACATCGAACACGAGCACAGACAGCTTTTGCCACAGATTACAATAAACATTGAATTATTTTCTTTACTTTTACAATATTTTAATTCCCGTTAAATTTAAATAATTGTACAATTTACCAACAAGAGATTATACTAAGAAATGTATATTTTTGACGTTGCATATTAAACAACAAATAAATAAAAATATGAAAAGCTGAACCTATCAAGTCTGTGCTAAAACAGATGTTCGAAAATTAAAAATAAACACAACTGTCAATCTCTTTGCGATATGTCGGGACTTTTTGCGACATATTTTCGAAAATTTTCGGAATTCCAAGCTATTTAGAGTGATTATCGTGCTTAAATAAAATGTCTATTTGCTTACGTACGATTTCTCAAAGAATACTGCCTATAAATGGCATCGTTTCCACCAAAAATCACTCAAGCCGCTTGTCTAGAAAAATCCCTCTGCGGACACAATTTCTGGAAGAAGTGAGTAATTTACATTGTTTTCTATAATACTGAATGTTATTCTCTCATTTTATGTTAGTTTTTATATGAAACTTGTTACATAATATGAGAAAAATGCGCATTATTTATAACGCCAACAGTATTTTCCTCCTTGACATTGAACCAATTATAATATGAGGAATGAGATTTACCCATTCACGTGGTGCTAACACAGACTTTTTGACACTAATTATGTTGGGCAGTAAAGATTTACATCTGGTAAAAGTTCTAGCTTCTCTTCAAGAATAACATGTTTGCACCTTCAATAGGTTATATCTGTTACCATAAAGTAACTATAATTTTCAGGATAATAATATTTGAATAAATATCGTCTGATAACATTTTGTTTACAAACTTCCTAGTTTGTAATATTGCCTAGAACTTGGCATCGTACCAGGACATTAGGTTGCCTTATAATACATTTTAAATTTAATTTATTTAATATTTTAGGTTAGAAATTTATTAAAAGCATTATTTACTAGTTATCTGTGGACTTAGGAGGCAAAGTATTTATTACCATAGATTAAACTGTTATCTGATTTTAGATTGGTTTACAATGAAACTGAGATATACATTACTGTTTAAATATTGATTTTAACTCGTCAAGTACCGTATTTATAGACACAATTAAAGAACAATAGGTTGCGGTCACCGGTGACCGCTTGTGTGGTTGACAGTTTAAATATATTAATAGGATCCATACTAAAAATATAGGCTTATCCAAGAGGATAAGCCTATGTTTCAACAGATAAGAATCTGTTGAAACATTGGCTCCCGGTATAAAACACATTATGCAACTTTCAACAGACAAGAGGTTAATGTGTTCTTGTTTTCTTGATTTCAGTGAATAACAATCTAACGTACACTGACTGATCGTTTAGTCTATTTCCTTATTCAACAATGTTCTAAGTGTTTATACCGCAGGCATAGAATAGTTATTCTTTATTACATCCGATTGTTATTTTATAATCCAATATTTGGCCTCAATAAGTATTGAGTTGATGGTATATGATTGTTTCCAGTTCCTACATCGTCGACGCATATCCAGTTGTCAACTTGCGCCAAAATGTAGCATGGACAGCAACATCGACTATGTCTATGGTCACGATGAGGCTGTAATCAGCAGGCTCACACACCAGGAATCCACGTCTATCTATGATAAAACAAAGCCTTCGGATGGAAGCAACTATTATGGGGACGATGTGGAGGTGAAGACCCTGGGACTGACATCGGATGATTACATAGAGAGGCGAATGCCTCCGTACACATTCGATGTACCATATACCAATATTAGTGATATTGACTTAACTAAATATAGTAATGTGAGTATTAATCAAAAAAGGTACTATAATAATATTCTTATAAATCAAGTTCTCACTTTCCTTCCATGGCCATGAGTTCTTCCATGTCCATCATTTCTTTTAGTACTTATCAATAATCAACATTATGTAATAGTTGTGTAAATTGTTGAAGTAAATATGTATTGTATTATGTTTTGTCGTGGGAATTTTATAATGTATCTTTTTCTTTTACAGGATATAGAACCGACCTGCCTCTCGGATTTTGAACGTGACGCGATCGCATACTGCCGCGGTACCGTATTGTCGAGTCCTATAAGCGCACCCGTCGTGGCGCCCAGCCGTGATGGCAAGCCCAATGAAGAACAACTCATGAAAGTGTACTACACTCTCTCAGACACGGTCAGTATACATTTTGTAGCATGGTAAGTTAAATTATATAGTCGAAATGATGCAATGCACCGAAATCACGAACATAATTTGTTGTAATGAAAGTACTGATTTAGTTAGTAGCATAAGAACAATAATTAGTCATAAAATAATCTCAATGTCAAAAACTGGCACAACTTAATCAAAATAGTTGAACAAACTTAAACAATATTAATTTTTTAAATTCTTCCAGATGCCAAATTTGTTTGTGAAGCCCCTGGACTATTCCATCTACCATCCTAACATGGTTTTTGTGAACAACATTAGGGGCACCACATCTGTGTAAGTAACTCTTTCATGAAGAATAAATTGCTATGTGAAATTTACTTTGGATAATTACAAGTTTTTATTGTGTATTAGCCACTGCTAGTACATAATAAAAACTGGGTGCACTCACCCTGTGTTCATAGTAAATTTTTCAATCGCTTTTCCTGAAAAGAAATATTAATATAATATATATGTTGGCCACATTCTACTCTAATATTCATAGAATGAACAAGTTTTATATTTGGAATCGTAACAATAAATGTTTGTTATTGTCCTCCTGCAGAGGTCTATTCCACTATGTGAAGCAGGTGGCGCTGCTGCGTACAGTGGGTCACTTGAAGTTTGCCTACGTGAAGCTGGAAGTCATGAAGATCACGGCACATCCTGAGGACTCTTCTGTCAAGTGAGTAAAGTAATAGTCTGAGGATTGTGTCATGTCGTCGTCAAACGTCGGCCAATCAAATATAAAAAAATGAAATTGTTTTAATATAAAACAAATATTATGGTAATTCTTGCTAGTTAACCTTTACAATGAATAATCTTATTATTCCCCATACAATATATCATAGTACTGGCTGCCACCAACCATCAATATTTTGTGCAGGATGAGATGGCGCATCAAGGGCATTTCCGGACTGAAAGTATTCTTCATGTTCTGGAAGTACAAGCTGTGGAACATGAAGGAGGTGTTCCGAGACCAGGAACTGTAAGTTTTCTAATTTAACTATGATTAATAGTAACTCAACAAGTCAGTGTTTATAGCAATAAATTGGTTTCCAATATTATAATTACATTTTTAATGATATAACATAAAACTTAAAAGTACTTGCTAAAATTACTGGAGCAAATTAATAATTAATTTGTTTGTTTCACAGTTGGTATGATGGATTCTCCACATTCTATGTGGGTGCAGATGGACTAGTACAGAAACATGTTGTGGATAAGGTACTTAGCTGATTCTATTTATCAACAACTTGACATAAATATATGAAATGAGTTTTGTAACTTATTTCTTGAACTTACATCTCCAGGTAATGCCAGACCAGGACACAATAATAGATGACGAAGAGAAGGCTCCAATAGCCGCCAAAATAGCGCTTCTCATTGGCTTGCTGCCCCGAAACTACCTGTCCGACGTGTCACCCTACTTTAGCGCGTCACCAGGCACCGCCGATACTACGCCACTACCCTTCAAAGTACTGGAGTAAAGTGCTTCATCATATCATCGGGAAAACATACTTAGGGACAGGGCTCCTTCATCAATGAATGAATAAATAATTTAATTAGAATTGTGGTTAATGTCTCCAAAAAATGAACTTTTCTAAGCAATGTCCTGAATTTGGATACACATTCGATTAATGAAAGTGTAATTTGAAAAGGCAAGCAATTTCTATATATGCAACTAGCAACATCTTGTTGTAGAATAAATTGTCTTTATGAAGCGTCAGTGATGCACTTTATATAAACAACACTATTATTAACAACTACCAGAAAGTTTAAGTTCAACTTCAATGGTTCATTAATCTGCCGTCACCACTCGAAACTGGCAGTATAGTCGACAACACTGTATTGGAGACTCGGTTGCTATTCTAGAAAGAAAGAAAACGCGCGTTTTTCAGGTCTCCCTAGTTTGTTACATCTTTAGAACTAATTCACAAAGCAAGTCGTTATTTTTGTACATAAAAAAACAATCTATTAAATTATTGCTTTTGTGTGTCCGCTTCCATTTTCGAATGTCTGATCAATATTTGCATGTTCATACATTTTCATTAATTTATTGATATCAGATGCAAAACTTTTGCATCATTTTACTAGAACATTTTTTTCTACAAAATATTTAGATTAAAATAACGAAATTATTATGAATGTACTTCAGATTTTGATAGGTTCTTATTTATTTATTACGGATATTTTTGTTGACAAATGAGTTTTGTTCTCCACACTGCACCAGTCCACCAGTTCGCAGTAACATTAGTTCGGCGTACACGTTTCAACTTCGGCAACGTGCAGTAACACATTAGTGATATTTTGATAACTGTGAATGCCTTGTATTAGTCTGTATAGATAATGTTATGTATTGCTATAATACAATAAAATGTGTCCATTATTCCCTTGTTTTTCTTTTTATTATTGTTTCACATTACAGCACCAATACTATTACTATTAAGCAATTAAAATGGTCTGTGATACTGATATCACAAGTCTATCCACAAAAATAATGCAAAAAATATTATTAATAAAAAGTATGTACAGCTTACACCCTTATTTCATTTGCCTTGAACATATTCTAATAGTTGCCATGATGATCTGTTGAATTTGTACCATTTCGGGGCAAAAACTAGTAGTGATTGTTGAAAAGAGATTTTTTTCATAAAATAATAACTAGTTTATTGTGATAGTAGGAAAATGTAAAATTGTTGCTGTCGATGTGATAAAGGTAAACAAGATTTTGTAAGTTTTTTATATTTACTGTCAAAAATACCTACCAATATATAGGTAGACTTTTAAAATACTAATCTAGCAACACAGTTATTTCGCGGATCCCAAGATGAGTGAACGGATTTTTGTTGTCAAATATATTTTATAAAAATAAATAATTATATTAATTTGCTTAATAGGAAGAAGATCCGTATTTTTACCAGAATTAAGTAGTGAAGAGTTCGGGTGTGAAGTTTTGTGTTATTTCCATTGAGTTATTGGAGGTTTCTGTCTTGTTTTGTGGCTTCATTGTTTGAAATCCTCTCGGCTCGGCAAGAAAGAGGTCTAGGCTCCCGAGTTTGTTCGCGTGATGTCATGACTACGGTGAGTTTATCTTAACTGTTGAGTTTATTATGGATTGAATCATCTGGCGGGGGTCATTGTTCGTGTTCGTCGCCCGGGCGCCTGCCAATTGCTTTTAATTATTAGTGTTGCATCGAAGGCGCTGCGCGCGTGTCCCGTCTGTCCGTCACTGATCATATGGAATACTGCCAAGTCGGTCGTATCGCGTAACCAGTTTTCATTCAGTCGTTTTGAAATTCCTATTTTGAGTTTAATATTTACGAGTGTACTTGTGACTGCGTGAATTTGCTTAAGATCAATTATCCGTTTCTTGGGATTCCCAATACGGCAGCCCTCAAGATAGTGAATGCGCCTGTTTGTATTGAAACTTTTGTTGTGAAGTGTTTTTGATTTGGCTGTTTTTAGCCTACACCCATTTTATGTAAGTTTTAATTTATAAATTGCATCTCTTTGGTTTTCTCATAGATTTTTCATATATATTCTTTGTTGCTTTAGGTGTATTGTTTAGAATCAAGTTTCTCATTATATCATTATCAGTTCAAGACCTCAGGAGACTCATTATCATAGTTTAAAAACACCTATTGTTACTTGTGACTCAAGGATAAGTAAAACTATGAAACTAGAAAGGGGACAACTAAAATTCGAATATAAATAATTGTAATCAACGAGCTTCTGTTTCCTTAAATACAGTTATCTGAGTCACAGTAACTTAAATAGGAAAGTCCTGCTATCAGCATGTTGCTCAATGTTTACATTCACAAAAAAGTGTTGTGATAATGAGCAATAGATAGGAATTGTTGATTTTCTACATTACTGGGTAAATAAGTAAATACTGTATTTGTTTTAATTGATAATTTTGGTTCCATCTCCTAATCTTAACATTTATGAAAATAAGTTAAAATTTAAACTCAATAATTTTACTGTGTCGCAGAGGTATTCTTCAGTAATAAATGGCTACCATTCAAAGTATTAACTGCAGCCTTGTAAACATGAAGCTACATTCAGAAGCATGTTATTCAATTGTACCAATTGAACATAAAGATCTTACAATACAGCTAAACTGTATTCATAACAGAGCAACTATAAAAATATATTATGGCTTCTCAAAACATAACAAAGAAAATAAACAGCTTTTTTATTATTATGCTGGCAATATTCCAATTGTGTTTAGATTTATATCCAGTCAATCCAGATGCTGAGAAGTAATATAATCATAGACAAAAAAAAAACAATGAAAAAGTTTACAGCATAGAGATTGAATGAAAACTCTTTTTTTCTTATGATAACAGATGATTCATGGCTATATCTATGTAGTGTGGGTTTCTTGTACAGTTAGAACAATAACTGGGTTAGTTAGCAATTAGCATACAACAAACTGACCAGGTGCTGACTAAGATCTGCTTTATTATCTATGTACTTTCAATAAGCGTCTGTGTGAATAGCCCTTTTCATCTTAGGTTGTTGGGTGTTTATGTTTATTATTATTTGTGCCATATTCTAAATCTTTTCTCCTATCTCTAATTTTCCTGATTAATTGGTTACAATTTAATACAGTTAAACAATGCCATTATGTTGATTTATAATGATGACTAATGGTTGTTTATCTGGAAACGTAAGAATAAACTGTTTAGCTAATTGCCTGTTTAATTAAACAATTGACTAAATTAAGTAATGTTTTGAATAAATAAAACATTATTTATCATTATTTTATCTGTTTCATTGATTTAACTATATAGTTTTTTGTTATGTACATTTATTCACAGCCATATCTGTGATGGTATTTATTTTTCCTTTGATTCTCATTTATATACTACAAAAATATAAGACTTTTTTGTTAAGAAATTCCCAATACGCGACAGAGCGGAAATTGGCGTTTAACTTCAACATCTCGGTAATCAGGAATACGAAAATTGAATTTCATAGACAGATTCGTCACAGAAATAAAAAATACCGAATAAGACGATAAAAAAATTAGTAAATGTAAATATCTGCTTTTATCGCGCGCCATCAACTTGTCTCAGAAACCTGGAACTCATAATATAATGTACAGTAATGTTTGGCTTCTATATTTTATTTTTATCTACCAACTATGTCTTAAGTTTCGCAACGCAATGTCGCACTTAAATAGTCAACAGAACACCAAAACGAATGTATTTTTGTACTTTTTGTGTGTTGACTCCTAACAACAAAGTTTATTGTCCTCAAATTGGCGCCATTTAGCTCTTAGAACTTTTAGAACTATCGCGAAAATATTAGCGATACTACTCTGAATAATATAAAGTGTACATAAACGGTTATTAATAAATAAAATAACCAAACCCGATGGTACCAAAATGGCTGCAAATATCTAGGTATGATTCATAGACGAAATTACCAGAATAAATATTTACGTATTTAGAATTGATTGATTGCTCTGTACTGAATTTGACGATGTTAGGAAAACGTGACTCTGCACCGATTTTGATTACGCTGTATCTAACTGTCTAGCACATTTTCCGAATACCACTCGTACACGTATGCTTACAACTTAACCATCCTTGAAGAATTTATCTCCTTGAGGGATAAATTCTTGTGCCTGTCAGCAGGTCATAAGTGTAAGTAGTATAGATAAAAGGACAAAATATCACAGTCTATTAATGGAATAAACAGGACCATTTCTCTTCTTAAAGTTAAGTCAGTCAATAAAGTCCAGAGGTCTTAAAATTATCGCCTTCGACAAGCGTAGTATGACCTAAAATCGATGCTGTACGTTTAAAAATACAATGTACACGTAAATACTTCCCAGATAAGCTTAGGTGTCGTACATGATTTGTACTTCTTTGAAATGTCCTTACTCGCCAATGAATCAGAAGTAATCGCATTATACAGGTTCCGCATTCGCTATGACGTAATGCCTCTTCAATATTCAAAGAAAAGTGACTTTATTCCTAGCTAGAAGACAATTTAAATAATTTTAACATATAACATCTCGCCTTTTATCCCCGAAGGGGTAGGCAGAGGTGCACACAGAAGTAACACCCACTTTTCACTATTTATGTTATGAGTCCCATGTAATAGGGGGTGAGCCTATTGCCATATACCGGGCACATTTCCAGAGTCCGTGCTACTACTGAGATTTTTTTTTAAAAACCCAGTAATACTTTGCCCGACCCGGGAATCGAACCCGAGACCCCTTGCCCGGCAGTCGCTCATGCGACCACTCGGCCAACGAGGCAGTCTTTTGTGTAGGCAAAATAATTTAGTGGTCTTAAAATTATGTAAAAAAATATTGGAGGTCGTCATGGGCGGTAGCTTCATCGGCAACAAGCAACCGTTAGCAGTCTACTGCTAAAAGGGCTCCGGCGAAAGAGGTATTATTTATCGTAAATATACCTCAGATAAGACAGAATCACAGTTCAGCTAAATTCGGACTTTGATACTTGGTCGCAGTTTCAAATGCTGGTGACGGTTAAGTTCTAAATTCTTACGCGTACGAAATAGTTATTATAAGAACATAACAGGTTTGAAATAATAATGCTGTTCGGTTACGTTAGCTGGTTTTCCCAGTAAACTGTGGTTTCCATTTCATCGTTTATGTTCAATTAAATTGTGATTCATAATTCAACAAGTAGCCTATGAGGCATGAGACTAACACCTTTATTAGAAGTAAAGAGTAGCGGTGAAATTCGTAGCGTGGCGATCCCGACCACAAAATACTTCCCGGCCTCCATTAAATAAAGAATAAAGAAGAGTCAAAAACCAAAAGATACAGGTGTAATTGTAGTGTACTAAACATTGTGTTCGACTGTATAACGAATAACTTGGACATAGCATGAGTCTGGACATAAAAAAGCCAACATTTTACGCGTTCTGCGGTGTTCTACCTACCGTCACCTGTTGTGGATTCAGTTCTGTATAAATTCCTGTCTTCGCAACAGCGTAATCAACATAAAACTCTGACACTGTGTGTAATTGAGGACTTTGAATTAAAAGTATACAGCTATCAGGTTTTACTTGAGCGTAACATAGTGCCAAGGTTAACGTTCTGTGTAACTTCAAGGCCGTTTTAGTGCAAAATGAGTAACACGATCAAGTATTTTGGTACGGTAATAAAATAACGGTTACGATGTACGAAATACGGACGATGTTGAAGTCATTGGGGGAGGCCTCCGGTGATAATGAGTAACAGTTCACGAATAAGATGGAGCAAATGTATTTAAATAAACCGTTTTTAATACAATCGGACCCAAAGCGTTCTAACGTCGGAAAATCGTAATAGTAACTCAATAAAATAACACTTTGATTAAAAAGTAACTCGCTTAGTTACAGCAGAATCCAATTGTGGTTTTAATGCAGTTTTTATTGGTACTACAATCTCGGAGATGGCTGATGATTCCTTCAGACTACCTATTAACTCTACTGGTAGTTTTTGCTTCCGGTGTAATTAACTTATGATTGTCAAGTTCCCACTCGTCTGATAGCAGGGGGTTTTTCTACACAAATCACTTTACAATTGCTTTCTTGTCTCAAGTACTTGGTTATTCATTATAATAAATCATAGTATTACGTACTTGTATTTATTATTAATGAACTACTTGATTAATGTCTGCTGTATAATCTTCTATGATGATCGTTCACATCAACAATGTATAATTACGCACTTTACATAACAACGGATCTGTTATTCCACTCTCTTTGTCTCTTGGGACAATTTGAGCAACGAACCAGTCAATTGTACCTACATTATTTGGAAGAGAGGTTCCATTTCACTAAACTGCAATAAAACGTTTGAAGTACGTATACTTGTCCTAAAAACTTCTTTGTAATACAAAATACTTGACACGCTTTATAAGGGTCTTTCAAATTGTAATCGTCTTATAAAGGTCAACAATCACATCTGAGGACCAATGACCTGCCGCCGCGGCCGTATGGTTTCTGGCTGATTAAAATCTTTAAGAATGACGCCTTAATCGAAACAATCACTGTTGTGTATACTATTTAACAGTGATTGTTGAATGCACTATAATAAAAAAAAACTATTCGAGATTTTTACTTGTAGTTATAAACTAATGATGAATATCAAAGTTCTCATAGTTGCCTTGTAATAACTAACGAAAATGCGCATTTTAAACAGCTCTGCCTGTTGCTTTGACGCAAATTAGTTTCATGGTACGTGTACATGCTGTTTTTTTTTTAGTTAATAACAAATGCAATGTCTAGTATGCGTTAATTAGGATTGTAATTCTAATCAACGGCAATATGCTTATCTATCTATATCGCATCTCCAACTAGTACAAATGATAGTGCTGTTTGATAAGCATAGACTCATGTTTATTCCCGAGGTAGGCGTGAGTATTCTCGCTATAATTAGGTCTTGTGTTATAAAAGCTTAGCTCTTAGCAGGTCATCCGAATCATAACCGAATGCTTAGATTGTTTAGTAGGAATTCTAGATTAGTGATTAGATCGTGCAATTAAACCCATCGATATAGCAGAGTTAAGATTAAGTTGCGCCTTTAGGTTTACAAATATACCTATTGGATTAATCAAGCAGCCACGATATCATGAGTTAGTATTCAAAACAGATTATAATAGAGATTAGCGTTTGAATTGCCTACATAAGGGTAGGGGCAACGACAGTCACGACTCACAATTTCCTCAATTGAATGTGTAAGTGGCTGAAAGTTCACTCACTCGCTCCCAAAGAGGTCGATTTACAATATAATGCCTACCTACCTAATCGGATCAATGTATGCTAAAATTTTCCAGTACACTGAATAAAGTCTTGAGGCGTATAGAAATGAAGCCCTTTTTTATGTTGTCCTTGGTACATTTCTTTAAATGCTACCTCCAGTGGTCTTCACTATCTTTTTTTCTACTGAGGAAGAATAGCAAATTTTGTCCAGTAATACTATTTATAGACTACATAATATACAATCTTGACTCTTGTCTTGACTGATAAGATTTTTTTATCAAGGCTTTTTACTTATACCAATGAGACATTATTGATTTTAAATGCTCATAATTTCAAACTAGTTTCAAATAAAAATAGAAACTGAATGAACTGAAAAATAGATAAATGGATCACAATTTTATTCAGAGCTAGTCTCTTCAATATTTTAGCACTTAATAGGCTAATACTCTGTCTGTCGCTTGATCGACCTGTCATAGGACGTAGACCTCGTTTGCTTTGGTTCAGCTTAAGGTCTGTGACCCTTGTCATTTTCATCCACCTTGTCTGCCATTTTCTTTGTGTACGACGTCTAGGGGACTAGAGTCTAGCTACTCAGACGCTCAGACGTCTAGTCACATCTGCTGCAATCCATAGTTTAGAATGAGTTTGTCGAGACGCCAACTTTGGTTTAGTTAATTGAGTGTTTTGTTTTCGGGTCAATTTGTATTAATGAAATGTTTTTTGTTATATTTACTTTGTTATTACCGTCATCGTAACGTATTTGTATGATTGATTAAAGTATTCTACATTTTCCTTACTCGTTATTAGAGTTTTAATTGGTTCCTATCGATTTCGAATTTTAATTATTATTTCCATTTTGCTTGTTCTAGGTGCTATAATCAAGAGACTGATAACTTAAGAAGGGGAACACCTGGAAAGACTGACTGGCACCTATGATGACATAGCCCGAAGATGTCTAAGGTGCTGAGCGCGCTTGGTGGTGCGCTGCCAGATGAGCGGCCGCTGCTGTCCTTGCAGATCGTGGAGACGGTGGCCAAGTGTCCTACAGGGTACTGGCCCGTCAGCAGGACGTATGATGAAGACGCTGACGCTGGACTACTGCGCCAGAATGGCTTGTTCGGCAAGAAACCAAGCCACTACATTTGTTTGTCCAAGTCCGAGGGTAAGTTGATGAAGTAGTTCGTGTAGTTTACCATACATACTTATTTTAAGTACGAAATAATTATTAAATAAGTACGAAATAATTAATGACGAGCGGCCTCATGGCACTGGATCCGTTTTCAATATTTTTAATTAACTAAACAACAAAACGCAGAGTTCATTCCTTAATTCATTCAACCTACTGATAATCCCATTAAGGTTCTCATCAGACGTGTAAGCTTTAAAACGGATGATGGAATGTGGTGTAATTATAGTTCTAGAGACAGTTATTAATTATAACGACTCGTCGAGCACCGCCCACTCGAATCCATGTCCACACAGCACTTTATTGGTCTGCTTACATACGTCCATAAACTCAGACCTTTGTCCCATAGGTTTAAAATTAAGTTTTGGAGGTGTTATGATCCTTGTCTGTTATTACGATCCTTCCTTACATAATTCTTTCCAGAACCTCTGCCATAAGGTCCGGCCATAATGTTCTTGTAAAGTAAAAACATGGTATGATTAAGGAAATGGTTGTGATCCAAACTAATGAGTATGATATTCATATCTGAACGTGATCGCTAATGAACAAATATTTTGCAAAAACCCCGTGAATGCAAATAACAAGGAAAATAAAGTTTTGATTAGATATTAAGTTATTATTAATGGCTTACTTTTAGTTTTCCTTAAACCTAACTAGTAATTGCTGAACATTTTGCATGTTATGCAATATGTACATACATTTAATGTTTTATTTTATAGAGTGTAGTCGACTATTCCAAAATTTTTAGGGGCTATAAATAAGTTAACGCAAGTACGTGCATGTAATCCAACACCGTATAGTTTCAAAATCGATTAGCGAGTAGATACGACATGTCACTGGCAGAACGTCGCTGGCTTTGCTCCGTGGGTTTACACTGCACGATAAAATACTGGCCGTCGAGATAAATAGGTCAATGTGATAAATGAATTATGAAAGCCCTCTATGGTGATAGACAGTCTTATCTATGAAAGGGCAAAGCCCTGCGTGCCGTAAATTAATAAAAAACTTCTGTCGTTTAACTGTGTGTTAGCTTTCATTATGAATGCGATAAATGCGTTGCGCTTGAGTTACACCGTGTTACTTTTTTAATTTGTATATTTTCGATATCAAAATTCAATTAGTAAAATAAACATTACTGACAAATAAAAGCATAGTAATCAATACTTTCAGAGATCAAACGGTACAAAAAAATGAAAGTAAATATAATTGCTACAAGTACAAGGAAAAGCATTATTCACTTTCATCAAAGTTGATACGAAGGCCGAATTAGTTGTCCGATGATTACTCAATGATCGTAACGGGGCCGCGACCGGCGACCAGCCCCCAGCCACGCTTAAATCTGTTTACAGTTACGCCAGTGGGTCACTGCCTCATTGTTACTAGATTGCCGGCCTGTTCCCAGGAAATGGATTTATAATACGCGCTTATTCTGCCTCAGGAAATGGAGTTCCATGTAACTTTACTTGCGTGTGTTTTCAGAAAGGTTGCCTTTCACGTTTTCTTTTGATCGTACAAGTAGTGAGACATCATGTCTTTGTCCAAATTGTAATAGTGCTGAAGGTGAAAATATAGGGAAATGAGGACGACTTCTTTAGTTTTTGCCTCGCCTTCCTAAAGTTCTAGGTCAAAGGCTGGACTTGGTTAAATAGACAAGGAAACCTTCAGTAACAATATATCAATTAACTATAGATCTGTTAAACGTACACTTAACGTTGAGATTACGAATCACGAGTAAGACATGTCCCCATTAAAAATTTAAACAGACTCCATGATAGTGTAACCATGACTCTTCCCATTGTTACGCTTCGACTCTATTGTACCCAAACGACATTTTTTCTCTTGAGAGATACCTTTTATGTATGACAAAGCTACCTGTAGATATGATATGATAACTGTTTTGGATTTGGAAGCAAGTCGTCACCGTATTGGTATGCTGGCATTGATTCGACGATCTTCGCACGTATCTTCCATCGTATCTTCCCACGGAGTGTCTGTCTAGCTTCTATTTCTGGCTTTGTCATACTATATATCAGTCAAAGTGTTGCAATTTTTCTCAATTTCTTAAGCCCATTGTGTATTCGTGTTCTAATAATACCGTTTCTAAGGACGAGGGGAGCTCTAACGTTTAACTTTTGGAGTATGGGATATTTACCTCGTAAATCACTCAGTGGAAACCACTAGCTCCTATGAGAGGCACTGGGTATTCCAAATGGAACAGCTCTGTAGCCCCCACTTGCAACACTTGTAAACGATATATCCCTAGGCCTTAACAACATCTAGAATATTTAGACTTTGTTTAAAATTGACAAACTTTTTATAATGATATCAATGCAGACTGATTTCTTAGAAAATGTAAACGACACACATATCGGCTTATGGTACGTTTATTATCAACAAAATTATTTAGGTGACACTTTAGATAATAGAAGGATAATCTCTCTGTGATGTCATGTTCTAATCAATCATTATGTTCGGTTTGTGAATAAAGTGATATCATTCATATTATATTAATGGAATTGACTTTTGTAACAATCAATCAATTTGAACATGAAATTGTGCATTCAACAATAAAGCACCGAAATACATTGTAAACAGAAAACAATAAGCTCTAAAATAATCAATAAGTTTCACCTGTCGTGGATCCACGCGAGACACAATTTATTTTCTATTGTGTCTTATATACGGACATTCAAGCGGTTAAAAAAACAATGCTATAGACTGTATAATTATGTATTATGACCGTATAAGGAGTCAAAATTCCCTAGCTTTCAGCTACTACTTACTAAACCACTTTCCACCATATCGAGCTGGTTATAATCGATACAGCAAGTACTCACAACATCCGTAGATGGAGAAAGAGGTCGAGAGGCGAGCGAAAGTTGTAAAAATAAAAACGATAGTACACAAGCAGGAGCCTGATCAATAAAAATGGTGCCGTGCCGACCATTGTAATATTTTCAGTTATTGAGAGAGAAATAGGATATAGCTTTTATTTCAAACTCGTCCACTTATAGGTAAATCAAGAAAGTCATAAAACAGTTGCGTAAAAATGTCCCTTGAACCGGTAATTAGAGTTACTAATTCTTCATCATCATTAGTATCATCAGCGCGTTTCAGTCCGCAGCTAGACATGAACAAGGCCTCTCCAAGTCTCCACAAAGCTGGATCGTTAGCATTTCGCATTTGTTGGCCAGCCACTATTGCATAGCTTCACCCCTAGGTGGAGGGCGGACAACTATTCCTAAAAAAGAATAGCGTAACGTAAAATTATATATGGCTTTAAAAATATAAATGTAGTTCTTTCAAAATGCACTCTAGTTGACAGTTGTTATATTTGCATAATACCGCTGTACTTGAACAGCTGTCATAGTGGTCAGCTGGTCATCGAGTTGACACTGCGTCCTATACAAGCTCATTAGTATTAAACACAAGGGTGACTCTACAAGGCTTCCTTAACCCTCCGATATGTAGAACAGTAGTACCTACCTACATGTCATATGCAAGCATTTTACTTCGTTTTGTCCGTCGATTGTATTAACTCGTCGAGTACCGGTTTTATAGACACAATTAAAGAACAATAGGTCGCGGTCACCGGTGACCGCTTGCTGTTTGACAGTTTAATTTCCATTTTATACTAGCGGCATGTTTCGACTATTATACGAATTGCGGTGTTGTTTACTGTCACGGATTCACAGTTTAGATTATTACAGCTCATCATCTAACCACTTATATATTATGTATAACCTGCTAATACTTCCTCACACAAGTATGACATCAGAGAGTAAATATCTACGTTACATTCGCCGACGCAGTCGTCTTTCTTATGGGAGTAAATCCTATGTGACATTACTCATTTATACTTGATTACTGTTGGATGTTGTCATAATAGCATTTTGGTCAATAGTTAAAGAGGATGTAGATTTTAATAATGTTTAAACAATATTTTAACAGCTTTCTCAAAAGTCGACAAGTTTCAAGTCACAGCAGGATTTCATAAACAAGAAATGCGTATTTTATAATGTTTATTGTTGATTGCAATTAGAAATGTTGATATTATTATACTGACTAACCATAACTATTCCTCCACCAGGTGTTCCTGGCTACGTGATGGACGGTGTGGTGATAGTGGGGGAGCGGGAGGCAGCTCCGCCCGGGTACAGCGTGGCGGGGCGCGCTGGGAAGAGGCGACTGTGTACGCGCGTCTCCCGCCCTGCTGCAGCGCGCGCCTACCCGCCTGTGACAGACGTCATCGTCTGCTCCAAGATGAGGCAGGCGCCGCAGGGATTCATACTCGCTGGGTGAGTTTCATTAAATAAATGACACGAAAAGCTGTGTCGTCGTCACTGCTTTATGTTTAATACTGATTGATTGGCCAGGTAAAAAATAAAAAGTATCTTTGCTGTTTTTTATAACCGGAAGTTGGAACTCGTTGGATTCTCGGACCTTCATGGCCTCTCGAGCGTGTTGTAAATAGTCATCCATATCTATTCACTGACCGAACTAGGAAAGCGTAACGTACCAGTTCGAATCTCGGCAACGAAACTGCTTTAGGCTGTGCATAATGTGCATTGTATTTTATTATTTTTCTATCATATTATGATATTTGTATTGTAACATTCGTGAGACATACTAAATAAATTATTATATTTTCGGTTTAGACTCACGTAATAATTTGACGAGGAACTCGACTAGTTTCAAGCAGCATTTCGCGACCCGCGACGCGGCGCCTGTCGCGCTGCATGAATATGAGCCTCTAGCATAGCATAGCATAGCTTATTACGTGAGTAAGCCGAAAATATAATAACATATTATGATAAAGGGATTACAGCATTTCATTTATTAAAGAAAATAACTTTATTGATAGACACAAAGTGTGCAAATTAACAATACCCTTCGTACAGTTAGGTAATAACGCTAAATAATGACAAACTGTTAGTCACGCGCACATTTATCCTAACAATTTATTATTTTGATTGAAAATGTGTGACATAGGTAACAAAGTCTCTGAGGAAAGCAGCGCAAATAATGTACTTCATATATAACATAACATCACGCCTTTTATCCCCGAAGGGGTAGGCAGAGGTGCACATTACGGTATTTAATGCCACAATACAATATAACACCTACTTTCACTATTTATTTTATGCGTCCTATGTGATAGGGGGTGAGCCTATTCCATATACCGGGTACAATTCCAGACTCCATGTTACTACTGAGAATTATTTTTTCAAAAACCCAGTCGACACACGACACCCGTTGCCCCGGCGTGGCAGTCGCACTTGCAACCACGGTACCAACGAGGCAGCTGTTGTATTTCATATTGTGTAAATTGATTACACATTGGTTTTCCTTTAACGTCCATGTTCTAATTGTTTTTCTTCACAAGTAGAACACTTGTTAAACATTCTGTAAAGTTAAATTATGATTCACACTTATCGTGATTTACATTAGTTAAGAAAATATTGGATTGAGTGCCGATGAAGCCAGGTTAATGGTGTAAATGTATTTGTTGCAGTGAGATAAACGGCAAGATGGTGTGCTACAAAGTGAGCGGCGGCAGCGCGGACAACTCGCCCACACACAACGAGTATGAGAACGTGGTCACTAACATCACGCCCGAAGCTAATAGGAGGTAAGTAGTACACCAACTCTTAGTACCTACTTTGTTATGTCTCTATAAAACTTTTGCGCAAATTGGCAAACTGTTTGCGCAAGACAATGAATGCGCTAGTTACCTATGACTTAGCGCAGTGACCGAGTTGCTATTACTATTATGTTTCTCAATGTGCAGATCGACAAAGATTCTGGTTGTTCCAGTACATGAGAACACCATAACAAAATATTCCACATTTACCATAATACAGTGCAATTCCCAAAACATCGCGTTGTTTGCGCATTTTTGCGCTTTCAAGTCTTTGTGTTTTGCGTTTATCTTAAGGCAGTATAAACATTTACAAGCAGCTGCAATAAAGTCAAATTAATTAACCTTGCACTTTCTGTGTTAGAATTAGTTTTGGACCTTATTGCTTAAGTTATAAGAGTTGAAAATGGTCACATTCATGCACGCTAACAGACATGAATTCTGGCAACTGTCAAGCGCGAACAACACAAAGATTTGAAGTTAATTAATGAATCGTTGAGTGCAGATGAATTAAGTCGCTGTGTTTGAGTTCTCGTGTGGTTTACGCACTTCATCGCTGAACGAAACTCAATATACGAGCGAGTTATATGCCTTTTGAGTGTTACGAGTATTTACAATATTTTTTAATGTGTTTAGTTTAATGCAACATGCACCACTTATAAGTTTTACAACTCATAATTTTGAGATAGCTATCTCATAAATAACTGACTAATTCATTATATTCCACAAATTTTGGCCATTATTTCAGCATTGTAACAAAGAGACCACCCATCTTTATTTGTATTGCAGTTTGGATGCATTCGGCACGTGTTATCAAACACGCGCCATTGTGTGCAAACCAAAACTATTTAGTATTTATTGCATAACCAGCCGTCTTCGCCATCGTTGAATAATGTCGTATGATCCATGACGATACTTTCATTGTTTACTGTTATGAAATAAGTCACTGTATGTAACTAAACTTTTTTATTTCAATAAAATAATTTTCATAAGCTAACATACGATGACGGACTGAAATTGCATACCTTTATACCTTGTCATTATCTCTATGGGCCATAGAACGTCTTCAAATCCACATGGTGTTTTAGGAACACCTAACTATAAAAGTTATAGATTTCCAAAATTAAAAACATCATCTACTTCCAGATTACGTGTACCAGAGCGGCCACCGAAGCTATCGCCTCTAGTCTCCGAACTAAACAACTTGAATCTCAAGCAGTCGCCGACCGCGTACCCTAACATCGAGGAGTTCACCACGGACCATGACTACGAAGCCCTAAGTCCGTCATACAATATTAAACCAAGTCGGCCGGCGCCCCGGCCACCGTCAGCGAAATCCCCGATCCCACACGGGAGCCCCGCTGGACCGACGTCTCCCGTAGCACATGGTCGCAAGAAGGGACCCGCGCCCCTACCAAGAAACACCATCTACCAGACGTTGGGAGGCTACAACGGGATGGAAGGAGTGCCATTTTTATTGAACCCCAAGTTGAGAGGGTTGCCTAGTGACCATGTGGTGAGTTAACAATAGAATACTACAGCAGAATATTTGATTTGATCGTTTTTGCTAGTAAGGCATTTTTTGTTAGTAGGTACTTTGGTTGAGTAGGTATACGTAATGTAGGGCTTTTAACAAGGAATACCAATTAACGATATTACAGTTTTCCTCAACACAGATTTGTTTTAATATTATAATTGTTACACATTACACATCTCTGACCGCTATTTCGAAGCGTCATATGTAAAGGGCCTATTTTCCTGAGTATATTTTTAGTTCGAAAACGAACAACGTTATTTAATTTCGTTATTTGTTATTTTAAAAATCTATAAAATTGTTTATCTTTCCTTCCAGACACAATTGCCCGTCATAAAGCGGCGCACGCGCTTCGATCTCGACCGTGACTACACCTACAATTTCAGCGTGGAGCGGCAGACGTGAGACGAAGCGAAACAAACCATTTTGCCATATACATAAGGTATATTATACTTGTTCTATGTAGATATGAAATGACCTTACCCTGCGATTGAGAACATTGAATGTAATAGACATCACTATAAAACTAAGTCACTTCTCTTCCGGTTGAAAGATATTTCGCGAATTTTCTAGAAAATGCTCAATGAATATTCATAGAAACGTTTGTCCTGCAATTAGTTAAAGTGTTCGTAGGTACGTGTTCATCCCCCAATCCCATAGATAATTGCCAATGTATAGTTAAACACATGAGTTGTTAAAGTTGAGTATGGAGTTTCATTTAGTGCTTGAAATGAGATCTTCTTTGTCTGTAAGTAGACTCCTGTCCGTTTCAATGCTAATCCATTCTTCGAGAAAAGTAGTAAAGTAATTCTATTTAAGAAACATAGCATCCCATCTCCAACATAGACGATTATGTTTGAAGTTTGAAAGGACAATGGACTCCTTGACAGATATTTAACAATGTTGCCAGCACTTAAAAACTAATATTACCACGGTAGAATTTAAATATTGTAAATCATGACATTATAAATTGGTTGTGTTTGTAAATGTGACGTTTTCGAGTTAGTCGGCTCAACGTTGGGACTGACGAATTTGATTATAGTTATGATTATAGCGATTCGTTCACATATCCTTATTGTATATTGTAAATGTGATGGCTTGGATGCGGGAGACTGGATATTCAATACAATGTTATAAAAAATACACAACCTGCATGGATGGTATTGATACAAAATATTATAACTGTATTTGCTGCAATAAAATCTGGAATAAATATATCAATAAAATATGTGTATATAGTGTTTTATATTTAAACTGTCAAACACCAAGCGGTCACCGGTGACCGCGACCTATTGTTCTTTAATTGTGTCTATAAAACCGGTACTCGACGAGTTAAAGTAATCGAAAAGAGTACGCGCATTCGGCGCTCTATCAAAGCGCCGAATGCGGTCTCGTTCTCGTTCCTAAAAGAAACTCGTACTAAGGCCTGAAAATGTAACCGTTTATATAACTCCTGTATTGGTACTTACAACAAAGACAATGTTTTTACATTATAAAAGTATGTATTTAAACAAGGTATGAGTATCCATTGTCTCATGTTTCCTAGCATTTAGCGTGTTGACCCTGAGGCCTTGATCGCGTGTCGATGTGTAGTTATAGACTTGCAGAGCTCTAGCATGGAACAATACACATGCCATGCAAATACTTCTCTATGAAGACAATCTTACTAAACAACACTCCAGACTAATTGGCTCAATAAGACAACACAATGTAACTTCTGTTTAAACTGTGCTAGAGCTCTTTATTGATTGTCATGTGTCAATAAACTGTGGATGATGATGCGGAAACAATGAGAGTGAATTTGTAAAAATATAATTATTATTGTTTAATTTCATGAACGACAAAACATTGTTTATATGTAGAAAACATTTATTGGTCAAAGATTATTATTATTAAATGACTGAAAATTGCACACAATTTAAATTGTAAAAAGAAAGGTTTCTTGTAAAAAAATTAGGAAATTATTAATTGATAAAGTAATCGTAGTGGTACTTGGAATTAGTTTAAAGTGTACGGTGTGATCATTTTGATCGCCATCTTTAAATACAAATACATGGATACCGGCAGTTTCCTTTTCGAAGTTATAAACACAAGACAATGATTTTACGCTTTTAAAGTTGCTACTTCCCGTAAGTGTTTCGATATGAAGTTGTTCAGAGCGTAAACAGCCCTACCTATATATGTTTATAGTTAAAAAGCTCCATTATATACGGACATCTACAGTTACTTCTGTCGGAAGAATGGCTTTTTACAATGTCGAACAGGTATTGAGAAATATCAATGAAATAGAAAAATGAGTAAATAGTTAGGCCTGATTTTATCTAGGTCCTTGTAAATCTTATAGTTTAATTACAAAATATGTCCTATGTCGTTACAGCGTGCAACTGTGAAGTCTGTATGTATGAATGGAGCTGTATTTATAGTGTGCAAATCAACATACTTGTTACATAATGTTCTCGTTATGTTCTCCGTTGTGTAAAGGTGTCTTTACCTTGTTAGTAGGTTCTCAAGTGTTAACGAATGGTAACTATTTACAAAGTAGCGTGTAATGAAATGTGCCAATGCCAGTACAAAGTGTAGGTCTGGTGCCCGGCCGCTCCGCCAGCCAACGACTAGTCAAACAGAACGAATTTGATTTACTTGCACCATTTTATCGACTGACATCAAACCATATACGCTCACTTGTGTATACAATTTTTATGGCACCCTCAAGTCTATTTTTGGACAATATTCGTTTTGTATCACTTTCCCTAGGTATTGTCGGCTTATACGTTTAAGTTTTTTTTGACAATAACCCGGGTGGAATAAGTAAACACGGTTATGAAAAGTTGTGAATGAATTATAAGATCCTTACTTTAGTGTAATTTAGTTATTCATATTCAACAATGTATTGTTTTTGATATATTGCATGTATTGAGTTACTCCCGAATGTTAATACAGGTAAATATATTACAATATGTGAATTAGGAAATATTTATTATATGTAATGACGAATGTGGTACTTGATTTTCCTCGTGTCTAACCTTAAGTAGCACACGTATTGTCTTGAGGAAATAACCGGTGCTGGAGACACGCGCGTATGGAAGCACTGAGTGTGAGATGTGTAACACGAGTTACCCTGCGGGGTTATGTCCTAGGTATAAGCTCATTGCGCACCACGCACTGTGTGGCCCTGCCTCACAGGAGCCGCGCAGTGTCGGTGCGCGATGGTGGTAACATACGGTCCAGTTTGCACTATTGTTTGTCAATTTGTTGTACATATCTTAGCGTATTGTGTTCGCACGACTGTTATTTATTAACTCGATAAATAGCTTTACTTGCTTTATAATAAAATCCGTTTATTTGACTACCCATTATAGCCTGTAAAGAGATTCTGTAATGCAATTTTAAAGTAAATATTAGACTTGTTTCTAGTTGAACTTGTTATAGATTGGAGATGACAGAATAGTATTGTTTTTGTCTCAAATCCTATTTGTTTTACTCAAATATTTATTAGTGATATTGTAAATAATTTATGTATAATGCAATTAGATTATTAGTACGCTTTTTTACACATTAGAAATGTATTTCATCTGATAATTTGTTTAGAATGACTACGAAGAAATAAAATAAAAATTAAATTATTGACTGATTACATTGTGTTTTAATTGTTTAAAAGATGAGAAGACTACCGTCAACCTACTGGATTACCGTCATCCTACTGGATTACCGTCATCCTACTGGATTACCGTCATCCTACTGGATTACCGTCATCCTACTGGATTACCGTCATCCTACTGGATTACCGTCATCCTACTGGATTACCGTCATCCTACTGGATTACCGTCATCCTACTGGATTACCGTCATCCTACTGGATTACCGTCATCCTACTGGATTACCGTCATCCTACTGGATTACCGTCATCCTACTGGATTACCGTCATCCTACTGGATTACCGTCATCCTACTGGATTACCGTCATCCTACTGGATTACCGTCATCCTACTGGATTACCGTCATCCTACTGGATTACCGTCATCCTACTGGATTACCGTCATCCTACTGGATTACCGTCATCCTACTGGATTACCGTCATCCTACTGGATTACCGTCATCCTACTGGATTAACACCCTAGACAAGGTTTAAACTAAAAATACTTCAATACTTATTTGTTCCATTACATAAATACACCATTTTCGTTGCGAAGTACGTACAAATGTCATTCACGAATATTTCGTACCTACACCTACTTTATAATATACTTCCTACGATCCTATGATCAAAGAGTATAATAAGTATAGGGGGCTATGATGTCTGGTGTTGCAGAACGGATACGACGTATTTTTGGTTGCAACTGATAAGTGGAACTTTTTTTATATATATTTGATGGGCCGACATTTGACGACTATCTCGCCTGGTGGTAAGCGATAATGCGGTCTACGATGGAACACGTCGTCCCATAAGCAACCTATTCACTCGGGACTTGAAGACACCCGGGTTATAGACCCCTTCAGGAAATACAGACTGGCAAATAATTCCACTCCTTAGCAGTACGCACAAAGAAGCTTGATGCGAAGAGCTTCGTGCGTGTGGGTGCGACATCTACTATGAATCGGTGACGCCTTTCCGATGTAGTACGATAATGGAAAGGACTAGTGGGAATCAAGTTGTGCAATTCGCCCCACATACTCACCGAAATATATCTGGTAGAAGACCGAAAGGCTTGCAACTTTACGCCTGTGTTCGAGGCTTTGAATTCGGGCCTCCACAAGCGCATCATCGTTGATGAGCGTCTTGGTACGCCTCTCAATGTGCTCTATTCTATCGCGTCCAGCTGATATTTAGCCGAGCCGTCCCAAAGATGAGAACAGTACTCCATAAATTCAAATTTTTATTGCATTATATCATGTGTACAATAGGCGTTACATATACCTACATACAGGACCGAACTGATATTTGATTTTTTGTAACATTTAATTATTGTTTTTATTAGATAACTTCATTTTGTACTAAAATAGGGGTTGCGCGTGCTAATTAAGAATTAGCTGGAAAATAGCAACAAACTGGGACATCAGTATAATGAAACAAGAACTGTAATAACAAAAATATCTTTATTACAAAATATTGTTTCACAAAGGTTACTTTAATTTACTTTCACTTAAAATCACAACAAAATCATGCTTAAAATAAAGCCATTGTAAATGTCCAACTGCACACAAATAAAGAGGCAAAACCACAACAAAACAATAAATAATAATTACACCTACAATTTTGAATTATATCTTATTAAAATAAGAAACTTAATAATAAAAAATAGATCCGTTTCCAAATGTCGTCCAGAATAATGTAAAGCGATATATAATCTGTGCAGTTCGACATTTACGAAGGAGGCCAACAATATCTGTACCCGTTCACACGACGCGACATACGACAGATAATATACAAAAATATGCAAGTGTACAAGAATAAGAACAATTTTTACGACGCCCGACAATGGCGACAAAAAATAGTATTTTCATGCAAGAACCACGTAAATATGATCTGTTGAGTGACTAGGTCTATTTAAAATCATCAGTAGTTAATATTTCAAGCAGAGTTCAAGTTTCACAGAAGTGTAACTCTGAGCAAATATATCATTATAGTAGTTGCGGTCTCAGCCAATAAATATTTATAAAGTATGCTCAGAATTATGCTTATAGCGTGAAACTTAGAGTAAATGGTCCTATGTCTTAACACTTACAATTTTATGTATAGCCAGCATGCGATTTATAGGCAATTAAGCTAGGAAACGAGGGCAATTACGACTAATCAGTTAGATTAGTCTTCGGTCCCTAGGTTTGTGCTCAAATGCCAGCAAATATGCAGATTTAATAAAATTCATTCATTTTGTTCTAACAATAAGGTAAATAAGGATATCCTCTGCACAATAACCATGAATAATGCTAATAAAATATATTTCTACAAATGAGCCAATAGTTTTCTACCGGCCACAATCGGCGCTTGGACAAAAATACTATTCAGTTTTCCATGTCGCCGTCAACTTTATACATTTGTTTACATTTATACAATTTTATACAACAGCACATTATTATTATTATCATCAAGGAGAATTTTTTTATTAACGACTACGCATTGGAAAGCGCAACATCGATTCCAAATATTTTCGCTGCACGGCACGAAGTAATCGGAACCAGTTGTAAGAGAATTCGAAACGTTAACTGACAGTTATGTAACGGGCCGAAATATTGGGATATATTTTTGTTAAGTGAGCGCGAGGTAATTTAGTCTCTCGCTCTTGTCTTTTACCTTGAAGCATACTACAGAAAAATGAGCAATTAATGTCGATTGTATATCGGGGCTGTAGTATGGGGCGGGGTGTGTATCAGCGCGAGCGTAGTGTCCGCGCGCGGCGCCGCCCCCGTCATTGCGGCGCCTTCAGCTGCTTCTGCTGCTCCAGCAGGCGCTCCAGGGGAGACGGGCCAGGACCCGACCACAGGGACTAAACATACAGATATTTACGGATACCATAATAAATTATTACTTATCCCGGTGGATCATTCACCACCACCATCTGGATGAGACTCTTAAAGATTATAATAAAATATATTACCGGTGGTTGCGCGTGCGCAGGTGATCCCCATGCGTTGGTGTCTGGCGCCCCACTGAACAGAGAGTACGTACTGCCTGGCGCCGCACCACTGGCGCCCTCGCCGCTCTGTACACACGAACACAGGCTTAGTATCATATCAGAATAGCAATAAGGGAAGTTTGATTATCAAATTGTTATCTAATGTCTAATAATTGTCATTAAAAACACAATAGTCAACTCACCCCTATCTGATCCATATTCTTAACATTCCCGATGTCGTTGTTGAGCGGTTCATTGAAGTTGATGTTCCTCTGCTGCATGTCGAGTGCGTTGCCTCCGAAGTTGAGCGCGTTCATGTCCATCAACTCCTTGTTCCCCTGATAGGCCAGCGGCTTCTCCATCTTCATCTGCAGTGGCTGGTAGCCCAGCTTGTTGGAGAACTGAGGGTACAGGGAGGAGTCGTAGCCCACCGCCGGCGCGTACGAGAAACTGTTCAGTGACGAATTGAAGTTGGGTGACGTCACAAGCGTCTGCAGCGTCTGTAGCTGCGGCTGACCGATAGCTGACTGCATGTATCCTGGCTGAGTGAACCCTTCCTGTTTGGTCTGAGGAATGTTATTTGGCATCTGGTTGTACGACAGATTCTGGTAGGGATTCGGGAGGTTGGTGTTAAGGTGTTGCGGCGAATAGAAGTTGGGCTGCATCTGTTGCTGGAAGTTGGCGTTAAAATTGGTCTGGTCGGGCTTCCACCACATGGGTGCCTGGTACCCGTCTGCCTGCGGTGGATGCGGGGGCTGCGTCCAGGTGCGTGGCTGCTGACCATTGAACAAGGAGTTCTGCTTGAAGCTGTCATCGCGGAACTTGTTGTCGTTGAACTGGTTCTCCTGCGCGTTATGCCAGTACCGGTACTGGTTGGCGAACCGAGGAGGCAGATCGTTCAGGAAGTTCTTCTTGTCGCCAGACATCTGGTAGTTGTGGTTGAACTTCTGTCCATCCTGGAACAGCTCGGCGCGGGAGTTCTGTTTCTGTAGTGCTGCAGTCCTCACGTCGATCTCCTTGGGGTTGACGACGGGCAGTCGTATGCCTTGGTTGTTGACACTGGGCGCCGGGTAGCTCGGGTTGTAGCTGAGGCCCGCGTTCTGTATGCCGTAGTTCTTCTGGAAGTTCATCCTGGGTGCGTCGGGGTACGTGCTCTGTGGGTTCCAGTTGGGCGAGGGTGCGTGTTCCTGTCGCTTCTGCTGGTAGCTCTGCGAGCTCTGACTAGACGGACTCGGCTTGATGTCTTTCTTCTCTTCTTTCTCTGTCTTCTTGGGTGGCTCTGGTTCTGTGTTGAGTACGAGGTGTGGGTACCCAGCAGACTTGTCCTTGAGTGAGAGTATGCCGCCAGTCTTCCTGCCGAGCGGTAAGTTGGCGAGTGATTTAATGGCCTTTGGTTGTATTACTTTGGGCTTGTCGTCTTTGGATTCTGTGTCTGGAATAGAGTCTGGTGTCGGCGGGGGCGTTACAAATTTCACCTGAGGAAGATAATAAACATGAAATCATACACCTTTTCAAAAACAATATTAAATGGTCTTAGGAAATAGCAATTTTTTTGAGTTCGTTATTGCCAGGATAAGTCTTTAAAGGACGAAAAATATTTACAAACCAACCTGTTTATTGGTCTCCTCCTGTTTCCTCATGATGGCTGCCATGGCGATGTTGACCCTCGGTTTACGCGCCTCTTTCTTGTCTTCCGACTTACTGTCCTCTGATACGTCGGCTTCCTGCAACCAGCATGTCGACTGTTACAATATAGAATGGGTAATGTAGGTGTTGTGAACAGCATGGTAGTTATGGAACCTGCCTTCATGCTATTCGGAGGTAACAAAAAAAAAAACCTGAAGTCATCATTAGGTGACATGCCGATATAATTATATATTAGACAATCTTTGTATACCACTTAATTTTTATTTCAAGCCCACTATTCACAATACTGTGGATTATTTATCTTGTATTATACTGTCTATTGGTGATCTAGGGCAGTATTTTCTTCAAAAAATAGATATATATCTGATAATATCACTCGTTTTTCTAATAAATTCTGCAGTAAATGTTATGACAGCCTCGTTGGCCGAGTGGTCGCAAGTGCGACTGCCGGGCAAGGGGTCTCGGGTTCGATTCCCGGGTCGGGCAAAGTATTACTGGGTTTTAAAAAAATTCTCAGTAGTAGCACGGAGTCTGGAATTGTGCCCAGTATATGGCAATAGGCTCACCCCCTATTACATGGGACTCATAACATAAATAGTGAAAAGTGGATGTTACATTGTACAGTGGCATAATGTGCACCTCTGCCTACCCCTTCGGGGATAAAAGGCGTGATGTTATGTGTAAATGTTATGTGAAATAATATTGTGTACTTACAATGAGCTGGTCGTCCTGCGTGGCGAGCGCTCGTTCCTCCCTGGCGCGCTCCAGCGAGCCCTGCGGCTTCAGGATACCTACGCGCTTCTCACGGACTGAAACCCAGACACAATAGCACTCATATATATTATTTGTAGTGGGTAGCTATATTCGGCAGCTAAGGCGATTATTAATTTTGTTAGTTTAACTGACACTTTCCCTACGGATAGAAATAAATAACCAAAAGTGGTGAAGCAGTGTCTAGTTTGATTACAATGGTTCCGATTTTTATCTCAACTACAGTCAGGAAAGGAACTTTGCTATTACTTTTTGCTAAGTGGCCATATTTTTAATTTGAAAACAATACTCAATAGTTAAAAAGGAAACATAAAGTATACCTTTCTCCCGGAAATCAGCCTCGGATATGACTATGGGTGGCGGTGGCTGCGTGGGCTCGTCGTCGCTCTCGTCCTCGGGCTCTGGGGCAGAGTCCCGGTTGGATGTTGCAGCCCCTGCCGCCACTCGCAGTGCTGCTAGGGCTTCGGTCAACTGCTCACCGCCCATGGACGATGCCGTGAACGTTATCTTACCATCTTCCTCACTATGAATACATTGAAAATAATATACGTAAATAACTCACGTGTTTAGAAAGAAGACCAATTATAAAGTAATGATTTGTCTACATTTTCTCTGGTAAATGCTCAAGTTAATGTTTTTTTGATGGGAAATGGATAATTTAGAAAATAGAAATTCAACATAATATAGTTGTTAGCATGATTTATAACTAACTTTACTTTTTATAAAAAATATTCGAGAAAGTATATGGTATAACTCACGTGTATGAGAGATGTTCGGAATGTTGGTTAGCGAGTTTCTTCCCGAGCTGCAGCAGTCGGTGCGCCCGGACGCGCGGCTCCAGCTCCGGCGACCCCGACAGGCACGTCACCGGCACCTCGCCCGGGCTGCACAAGGCACATATTGTCAGTATCAAAGCATCAGTCACTCAGATCACAATGTATAACATAATATTGTTAAACTGTTCAGTAAAATAATAATTGTGAAAACATAACTTCTGCATGGTTTATTTGCATGCTTTTAAAGCGTTGACATTATGTACAGCCAAAGACCCAGAGTTCAGTAGGCGACTGTCACAAACTGTTGATTAGAGATATACCTTTGGCAAGTACAGTTACGCCTGCAGTCACCGCAAGTTTAGGCAATATTTACTTTATCAAATATAAAAAAAATGTCATAAGTAAGACTCACTCAGCACTACTATCCTCAGCCTCTTCATCTAGATCAGGTACTCGGCCTCCGTACGTGTCCCACGCAGCATGGTTTGGAAACCGGAGCCCTTTTAGCGCATTCTCCAGCGGTAGGAACCCTGCTAACTCTTCGTCTTCCGGTAAAGGTACACTGTCGTCTATAAAGTTGAATAAATTACATTCTTAGTTTTAAAGTTAGGTAACGGTTAATGTTCTGAACGCAGAAGTGCTATTTTAGGTAATTTTAATTTTACAATAAGGGACAAAGTATAAGTACATACAAGTAGTGTCATTTAAATGGCAAAAATGTTAACTTGTTGGGTAAGTGAATCTTTTTAATGACTTCTCGGTTTGTCACGACTGTTGCTGTCACCAAACCTTCTGAAAGGTTTTGTGTTTCATAATTAATTTTACGGCCAACCGATCTTCAGTGGCCGATGTTCAGCAGAAGAAGTGTTGTGACTGATATTATGATGATTTTGTAGGTATCAGAAATGCTCGCCCTCACAGGTGTCGGTGAGCAGCGCGGCGGCGGGCTGCAGCGCGTTGAGCGAGTGTGCCAGCGCCGGCCACAGCGCGGGCAGCGCGCGCCACGCCGCCGGCAGACCGCGCCAGCTCGCGCTCGAGGACTCGCACCACGACAGCCACACTTTTACTGGAATAAAGGCGGCTTTTCGTATTTTGCAAACAAGATAATGATCAAATGAGTATCAAAACATAATATAGACTTTGTAACATATACATGACTTCATAAATATTTTACAAAATTGGGCGAATCGACGAGTATTTGTGGATATTTTCGTAGATGGCAGTGCTATTTTCGGGCGATATGCTTTATCTACGCGAGTTCAAAATGTTGGCGTCGCGAACTTTGAACTGATTTTTATACGAAGTTTATGAATAGATGAAAGTTTGGTTGCTTACACGCAGGTAAGGCAGTAGCAGGCGGGGCGGGCGCAGTGTATGCGGGCAGTAGATGCGCCAGCAGACTGGACATGGCCAGCGAGCAGGCCAGCCCGGCCGCGCGCGCCTCGCCCTCGCTCAGCGCCGCACTGTCCGCGGACAGACCGTCCGTGCTGGAGTGGACCAACCAGATCATCACACACGCCATCTGTAAAAGAAATATGTATTATATTTTAAAATGCAAAATGTAATAGATGGTTGTCACTACTAAGCGTGTGTTTATTGAAAAAATATTCAAAAAGTAATTGAAACAATTAAGAATTGACAGGTTGATATTCTTATTCTTTTTAACATTAAATAATAATACCATTAGTCCAGTTAGTAGAGTTATCATATTCATTGATATTATTGCGCAAAAAGCGACGAAGGCGCCGTTTGTAAACTTTTAATATAATTCATAAGTGGTTTGAAAAAGAAATACCAACCTTGATGAGAGTCATGGACTCGAAGCTATCGGTGGCGATGAGTGCAGTCAGCGAGGAGTTGAGGGAATCCACCAGCGCAGACGCTGTGTCCAATCTGTAACAGTAACCACCCGTCAATGCTTATAACATGACTTTTATTAGTCATGTTATAATACATACACAGATAATTTTTATAAGATATAAATTGATGTCTGTCGTTTTGTATGAAAGAATTGTCGAAAATGTTAAAATTATTCATCCGATAAGGAGGCGTCGGAAAAATCGGCCCTTAGTGAACATTAATTGTTTGTAAAGGACATTATGTAAATTAACTTACTCTTCAACAGTGTGTATGTAGTGTATGGCTCTGATGAGTTCGCTGACGTATGAGTGCGCGTCCAGTCGGCCGGGGACCGGGGCCGGCGTCTGCGCAGCGCCGTCTGTCACGCCAGGGATCATTGGCAGGTCTTTCGGGTCACTGCTGTTAAATATGATTCAATATAAAAGTTAGTATTTATTTTGATGAGCTGAATTTCTTTTAGTTGAACATTTGAAAAAGTTATGCTGTAGTTAGTTTTCATATTAATGTTGGGTCATACAAGTGGAACTTAGTTACGTAGGAGAAAAAAATGGCAAGTAATGTTAGTTACCCAGGCAGCGCGGCGGCGGCGCGCAGCGTGCGCGCGAGGTTGGCGGGCGCGGGCGGGAAGGGCGCGCGCACCAGCAGCGAGCGCACGTGCCAGTACAGCGCGCCCAGCCGCCGCCCGCGCCGCCACGCCACCAGCGCCAGCTGGTTGTACGGCTGGCCCGAGTGCGCAGACACCACCAGCGCGTGTCTGCGTCATACAGGTATCACATCACTGTATTATGCTATTAAATGCATTTCAAGTACGTAATGAGTGTTTCTTTCTCTTAACCCTTCCTCAAATAGTTTGGTGTTAATTGCATCAAAGAATTGCATCAAATTCAAAATGAGAATCATAAGAAAGATAGTTACCAGACTTCCATTTGAAGATTTAGGTAAGTAACTTAAATGTTTCTTGAATGATGATTTTACCAATACTCTTGATTTATACATGAAGTAAGTTACAAACCAATATAACTTGCTTCTTAATCAATACATAGTATAAAACAAAGTCGCTTTCGCTGTATGTCCGTATGTATGCTTAGATCTTTAAAACTACGCAACGGATTTTGATGCGGTTTTTTTTAATAGATAGAGTGATTCTTAAGGAAGGTTTGTATGTATATACATATTGCACCCGTGCGAAGCCGGGGCGGGTCGCTAGTACATAATAAAAAAAAAATACAAGTTGAAGAAATATACCTATAAAATGTGTGAGCGACGCGCAACTGTTGCCTGTACCGCGCGAGGTCCCCGAGGTGTACGAGGCAGTGTTGGCAGATGTACCGCGCGGACGCCGGCGGCGGCAGGCGCGCGCCCACCGCCGTCTCCCCGGCACCCCAGCCTTCTACCAGCCCTAGCAGCGAGGCACGACGTCTGAGAGACAGAGAGAAAAATATGAATAACACATGTTTTATTAACAGGCCTCAAGTGGCTAAAGAAAATAAAATGTGGTGTTGCCTCATTTTGGAAACCAAAATACATTTTGAGTATCTCAATCACGGGAGTTAATGAAGAGTTTGAATGTGATAATATCTGAAAGTACTAATACAATGTTAATTATTGTTTGTAAGCATCTGATACTAACATAAAATAATTGAAGAATATTTTATCCAGAAACTTTAAAACAACCAACTAGCTTTATTAACAGTTAATACTTGATTTACAAAATGTTCTTTTTTTTTCTATATGAATAAATGTTAAGACTTCAATATCAATAGTTTACCTGAATGGCAAGTCCAGTTTGAAGGTAGTGCAGATCTGGTGAAGCAGACAGAGGTAGAATCCCGCAGCAGCCTGTAGCACCCATGACAGCATAGCCTGACCCTCACTGCGAAGGGGATTCTAAAACAACACATTATGGTAAAATGTAAACGCAGCCAATGAATTAGTTAATATTGTTGTTTTATGCCTAATAATGTAATGAAAAATTATTACCAAGAGTTTCTAAACAGGATAAGAGGTAGTAGTCGTTTTTATGTGTATTATCAAGGCTGTGATTATATTATTAATCAAGGAAAAAAATAAAATATATGTATTGTTTATGCTCATGTTCATGTTCACGAGCAATATGTTATCAAATAAAAGTTAGTTACTTTATAATCTGTGTTGCCAAAACTAATAAAGAATCGTTTACTAATGAGGTAACAAGCAAAGAGTACATACCTTTCTATCTTTTGAAATAGCCTGGAGGGCTTCAATCTGTTGTTTGAAGCCCACATTCCACAAGTCCTGTTCCACTTTCTTATACAATGCATAGTCTAGATCCAAAACTAATACTTTTTGATACACCTGGAAACATTTGAGATTTAATATTGTCACTACAGATACTAGACTTATGTTATTACTACATAATATGAAAATAGAGCCACTTAAAGGCAATACAATGTTCTATGAAACAGTTTTAACGAGTTGTTACAGTCCGACGAGTTGTTTTTAACAGTATTTTTTTAACCTTTTGCAGCTGTTGTTGTGTGGCCCAAAGACCTCTTTCTTGTAGCATAGAAATTCCACTCTTGAATTTTGATATTTTCAGTTTCAGCTCATCTGCCTCCCTGCGACGAAAGTATATCATCAATGTTATGTTTACAATGACTATTTACATAGTTGATTGCATCTAGAAAACTGTATGTGTCATTCAATGACGAACATTCACTTGACAGGGTCAAGCTTTTTCCTCGATGCTTATAAACAATATCAAAAACTTAAAAGAAACTGCATAGGTGTCTTTATTTGTATTGTTGTCGTATTCAACAAAATATAATCATTAGTGACCATTGACCTCACTAGAGAATATTTCAGAATTTCGAAATTAATTAAAATCTAGGTTACAATTTAAAGATTTGTCACTTACCTCAACATCTGCACAGCGGCGTTTAGAACCATTCTGATAGAGGCTTAGAGCCTCAGTAATTGTCATAGCATTAGGAAATTATCCAAATTAAAATTGCGGATTAGTGAAATGAAAAATTCTAAAAACAATCGAGATCCATGCACTGTCAAATTGTCAATGTGACAGCCGTTTTAAAAAGCAAAGTTGCCACTTAATTAATTGCATTAACTCTTACAGAAAAACCTTTACTTCTTTGCTTATTTGGTTAAAAAGCATCTTCTGTTTCTTCCACTTCAATTAAATAATCGATTGATATTAATATACAGATAGACATTCTGCTATTCTGTGATGTGAATAGTTTTGTGAAATCTAGAATCTAACAGATTAACACTTCGGCGTTTGACATTTTTGAGTTTGACAATAGATGAATTGACAGATGAGATTGCTTTCGGCTTTCGCAATTCGTTGTATTATTTTTCTGCCGATTTGTTTGATAGAAGGTAGATAGTTAAAGTTCAGTTTTTCTATTTTTTAAATACTTTGTTCCATTAAACATAACTACCATGTATGAACAACATTTACCGGTGCTGGACCCTCATGCAGATCAAGTTAACATAACTGTAAGTATTTTAAGCTCACCTTTTTTTTATATATCTCTTAGAATGACTAATACCTTGTGCAATAATTTTTCTGCAGCCTCCAGATGTGGTGAATGGACACCGTCCGTGCCAGACCCGCGAAGTGAAATGGCTGCGACTTGATAAAATCTATCAGAAGTTCTATCGTCCGAACTTCTACGACATCGGCGGCACTTATATGCAAGATGTGCCAGACTACTGGTTCTCGTTCAAAACAGAACAAGTTGGTATCACATTCCTCCTACATATATTTATTCGTAATCAGGGTGTGACTTCCTTTAATGTAGCCCTGAGCTGTGGAAACAAGTTTAAAGTTGACAGAAAAACGGAAACAGTGTACTTGCAACATTACCTGAAAGAGTTTCAGTTCAGACAACTTGGTGAGATGTCCCACACTTACCTCACTACTTACGATTTCTCAGAGTTAGACATACAATGTTTGAAAAATAGGAAGTTGCACATTGCTGTCTCATTTCCATTTACTGAGAGTACAGATATTAGTCTGGAAGTTATTAACAGTATTAAACTCAAACATGATTGCAGTGCTTTGTTTGCGGAACCTATTGGCTCTGACTTTGTGATAGAATCTGCAGATGGAGTAAAGTTTCAGATACACAGAGTCATACTTGCATCTCACAGTGAAGTTTTCAAGGCAATGTTAAAGGGGGACACAGCTGAGAGCCAGAACAGCTATGTGAAACTAATTGATGTTAGCGGGGAAGATCTCCGGTACATGTTAGAGTATATATACTCCGGAACAGTAATAGACTTGGAGAATGCCAATTTTGGAAACCTACTGATGCTGGCCGATAGGTTTAACTTGAAAGGCCTTTGGGAACTCTCTGAGTATGCTCTATCTGAACACCTGAGTCCAGACAATGCACTAGATATCTTGATGATTGCTGACATGCATGAGTCTGACTTTCTTAAAACTGAGGCATTGAAATTTATAAAAGAAAATAAAGAAATTCTAAGCAGTAGCACTTTTGAAGAGATAACTAATCATGATTTGCTCAAACAACTGTGCTGTTTCCTGTCCGAGTAGACTAGGTGAAGTGGTCTAGTTGTATGCATGTTTACTTGTACAACAATATACATGCGAGGAAGTTACTGTCATTGTGTAAAAGAGTGCAGGTTGTTGATGTGAGCAAATTTTGGTTCACATATAGAAACCTTGCTCATATTTCTAAGTCATTTTCATTGAAGTAATTTTATATAATCTTTTTATATCATAATATGTAAGTAAAATGTTGATAATATTCATGTGATATCTATAATGTAAATTAAAATCTAGTTTGTTACGTAATGGTCTAGCTTGGTCACAACCAAAGTAGTGTTTTGAGTATTATTTATTAAGTACAACTTTTAAGGCCTACCTTTGTCATACAAGTAACCATTTGGAACATATTGTTTTGAATGTTTAAAATTAAAACCAAATAAATGATAATCCTATGTTTATAAAAAAGTCTCTTTTATTACAACATCATGTCAAAACTATTATTACACACAAAATAAATGAAAAACATATTATACAGAAAACGTAAAAATAAACTTTATTGAATTTAAAACATAACTGTATTGTTATATGGGAAGTAAATTGTTTAAATAATAAATATTATCGTAATGAATGTTACTCGTAGTAGACAGATAGGTTGTACAAGTGAGGCGTCGGTGCAGGTCACTTGCTCAGTCCGCTGCAGGGAGCTATGCCCTGTCACGTGCCCTGCGAGCGGCGCACACGTTGGCTAAATAATCATTTTGGAATGTTACTCGAAGTCTTCATTTCTGCGGCAAACAAACATTTTCTTCTGTTAAAATGTTAGTCCACGACGATTAACGATCGGGTGTGGTGCGACAAAGGCTCTTGTTAATTGACCGAGTATCGTGATGCGATGGGCCATTCACATCGCGATGGGCTCGCTAGGAAGCGGCTCAGCGCTCAGCTGTATTGCAATCGTATACAAGCGTAGCAGGCAATGCGACAAGCCTAAAGCGTCTCAACGACCTTTGTGACTCAACTCAAGCTTCGAGCAGGAGCCGGTAGCAGCCCACTGTATGTGAACAGTCCATGAGATAGCGTTGCTTCTACTGAAATAGCGATCTTTACGTAACTAACTAAAGTGGTACTCATTTCAATCGTACTCTATTGCACATTACATCCGTCGTAAGTTCTAGTCGACACTACGATGGCTGTCAAGGGTCAGTGTCACACGGTATCTATAACTCCATTCGTAATGCGGTCAGCGAGAGGATTCGACGTGGTCAACATGCAGGAGAAGCAAGAAAAAAGGCCAATAGTTGTCTTATCGTTTATTGATAATTACTGGAACCGGTACACAAGAACGAAATAGAATAATATCTCTCATGAAAATAATACGCGTCCATGTAATGATCACCTACATCCTAGTGGTTGATAACGGATATAAAAATAAAAATACATGAACCCCCTACTATTACTTGAAATTAGAATGCAAGCTACATACATATTGCTACGTCTCGTCACTGCATTTACTTACTACAATACTTATGATTTTATAGACAATTCTCATTAAACTAAATACGTGTCTTCACTTATAATGAGCACGACTCACTCGAGAGATGTCATAACATGCCGTATCCAACTGCTGGAGTTACAATAGAGTGTTAATATATCACTAATTGGCCACAAGGTAGTAATTATCATAATATTAATAGTCAGAACAACATCCCACGACAAACAGAATAGCCCGTGTAAGTATTCAATTATTTAGGAACGCCTCTGCTTCTGTCGGTGTGTTAAACAGCGATAGCAGACCCAACGGTTATAGCAGACGAGTTTAGTTTAGTCCACAGTACAGACACCTGTTTGTTCACATGTTACTTGATACAGATCAGCTCCCGAGTACTCACGCGCGAGCTCGCCGGCACCACCACGTCCTGGCCGGCGTCCGACACATAGCTACCGACGTAAGCCAAACTTCCACTAGTAACACTTCAGACTGAAGCTTATTGTAAGCGTGAAAGTTAGATTTAGAAACAGAAGGAACACAAAACTTCATCATACGAGACAAATACCGTCATAAAAGAACTGTTTTAGGCGAGAATCTTCACGATTTGTATTAACGTATGTGAAATCAAAGAAATACAAGTAAGAGCCGCAGTTCTTGTATGGCCCGGAGTTGTGCTCGCAGCATGAAACTAGATGAGGATATCGAGCGGTAGGGAAGGCACAGAGCGCGACGCTGCGTGCGTTCCGTAGCGCGGTGACGTGGCATGTAGTCGCGTGAGGGAGCCTCTGTATCAGTGTGCGGGAGTGCGCGGCGCGGCCCTAGCGTTTACCGTTGTTATACGAGAGACTCCGCAGCGGCGCCTTGAAGTTAGCCGCCGCCTGCTGTTGGATCTGGTATGCGAGCGGGTGGATCTTGAATCCGTACAACCTGGCGACGTTAATGTTACCTTGGTAAGTATGAACATCACATATAAAGCGCATACACAGGAAAGAAGACATGTAGAGAGCTGCAACTACTGGTGATGCTAACTACACATCAAACATTTTATTTTAAATTAACTTATAGTAACAAAAATTATTACTAGAGATTACTTTTTCTTGATAAATGACTGTTCAATAAATGATCAATAAGATTAGCATACATACCTAGGCACGAACTGCGAAGCAGGCCGCTTGGGTCTGTACTCGGGATGGACCATGAATACCATGTGCGGGAAGCCGGTCCCAAAGTAGGCACCGTCAGTGTGGTGGTGCCGCGAGGACTTGGGCGTGTACACGTCCATGCAGCGCGGACAGTACAGCTTCACCATCGCCTCGCCGGGAACGTCAGATAGACCTACAAACATATTACAAGCATTGTAAGGAACATTTCAACATTTACAGTAGATATCAGGAAATTGAATTACGCGTTATTGCTTTTGTTAAATGGATTTCCAAATTGTTAAAATTCTCATATTATTGTTTTTGTCTTTCTGTCTTATATTCGTAAACCGTAACCGTAAAAATATCGAATAAATTACGTAAATCATTATTACGTATTTTTTTAATGTGTACGTACAATTTGTGTGTCGTTATACATTATTTCTGTAAATAGTAATTGCTTTAGACGTACATAACACGTAATGACATAATAAGAGGAAGTTGTGATCTGTGTGTCAGCATTATCAAGCAAATTGCACATGTTTTTGTAGTAGGTTGTAGAAAATGTGGCTATTTCATTGTAAAAAGTATTATGCTCAATTGTAGGTACATGTTGATGATTGAAATTATGACTTCAATTGGAGAAATGGGTGAGTAATGGGTAAGAAATGAAGGACTCGTGATGATACGGATTAAAGTAAAATAGTTGCAATGTCTACTTACCTAGAGGAAGCATGGATTGGCATTCACAGTACACTCGGGGACAATGACCGAAGTCGCCCGCTTGGAATTTCTCTAACATTTGTCCAATGCCTCTGTAAAAAATAACGAATGAAATAATTAGTACAATACAATTTAAATTAATTTCACAAACGAATGCCTCATAAGTTATTCTATGGCATTATTTTCCATGCGGTACGAGTAGAAGATATTTTTTACGAGGATATTCGTAAAAAGCATCAAATCATGAACTGTAAAGTCGTATGTAAAAATTCATTCGAGTATTCCAAATACATTCTGTCGGTCTCGCGTGAATGAGTAACATAAAAACTTTCACATGTATGGTACCCCTATTATCTAAATAGAGGAGAGAAGAGGTCAACGATTTGGTGTCGGTAAAGCACGAATAGCGCTAAACTTCTTTTGTGTTTATACTTTTAATAGGTATTATGCACCAACAATTTCCATACAATGTAGGCAGACGTATGTATTTTTTTAATACTTCATACCATTTCCTGTGGCGATCTACCTACTTAGATAATTATAATTTATTATTTCGAGACAGCTTTATTTGATTATCGAACCGATATCTAAGTATTTGAAGCATCAATTTTATATTGATTAAAATAAAATAACAGCAGTTACACACACTCTTGCTCTAGAAGTGTAAACTATATTTATGTAAATGCTGTAAACTTATTATTAGGTTACATTTCACCATTACAAAGCTTTTTTTTAAGGGGGGAAAATAATCGAATGACTTCTCCTGCTTGGGTGAGGCGGGAGGAAGTGTCAGACTCTTACAGACTAAAAACCACCCCGTTCCTACTCCTGTACTTCGAGCCGGAGCCCCGGTAACCCGTTACGTTCTTCGCGACACCATTACCTAATTCTATGTACCTTTCTTTTGTTCCCAACATTGCTACAAGAAAATATTCACGAGAGAAAATTGAGAATTTCGAGTGCACAATTCAATTTAAATTACTTGATGCGTTGCCCGGTCGGATGGTTGGATGGTCGTACTTTCAGAATGCCAATTACTTTTGTGTTTTTTCGCTATCTGTCAAAGTATATAATATTTGGATAGTAGCAAAAAGTTATTGCATTTTGGTATTATCAAATATCTCCATTGGTCCAGAGGTTCTGACGCTCACCGGCAACGCTATGAATAATATGCGAGTGAAGCTAGCTACTCGAGAATGCATGCATCTGAATGCATAAAATATACCAATTTTAGCTAACAATATAATTCACTAGCTACCCGCCCCGGCTTCGCACGGGCGCAATATGCATGTATTATACATATAAACCTTCCTTAAAAATCATGCTATCTGTTAAAAAAACCGCACCAAAAAACGTTGCGTAGTTTTAAAGATCTAAGCATACAGACAGACGGCGGATAGTGACTTTAGTTTATACTATGTAGTGATTCTCTACAGTTTATTTATACTTGTCAAATAGCTATAGTTTAAAAAACCCATCAATCATCATCCAAATCAATCTATTATCATATCCATTCAGAATGTAAACGGAACGGGTCCGAAAACACAAAGGAAAAAATGTTTTTACAATTTTAATAGTTTTTGTTTAAGTGTTATTCATGCAATATGTCTTTAGCAGTTGATTACAACGATTATTTCATAAAAGAAACATTTAATTCCTTACTTTTAAGAAAATAAAACTTGTTTTTCCCATCACCTGTCGGCGTTTTTCGGAAGCGTTTCGATTACACCTGTATAATTTGGTAGTACAATGTCAAGGTACTAACGCCTTGAATGTTAATGTTATATCTAAGTCGAAAACAAAACTAAATCTAGTCTATTTATAGCATAGTTCGAATTATATTAATAATTATTTTATTCAGTAGTACGTGCGGTCCTTCGCGCACAAAGGTCATCGCGTGATATTAAACAGTCAATAAAAATATTCTAGAATAGGATTGTTTTATTTTTCATGACAACGAGACAACTATCATTACTACAATCAACTAGTTTTATATCATTTGTTTTTTTTAGAGATATGTTGCCTGGTGGAGTGTGGTGAATATAGCCTTTTTTTTGGCGAACATAGCCTGAGTACACTTGCACTGACAGAGTGATCGAGAGTGTGTTACCGATCATGTAGGATATTCCGTTCATTCAAACATGCTTTTTCGCCAAAGAAGGCTACTTGACCGAAAAAGATGACAAAACACGGGGCACCAGAGACTTACTTATTAGACAAAAGTTATCTTTATACAAGTTATCACATAGAAAAGGAATGGTTTAGTGTAAAAAACTCTAAATGTAGTTACACGGACTAACAATGGTTAGTAATTATAGGCACTCTTACCTATTTGTTAAAATGTAGCGAGCATGTATCAATCCATAGAGAATCTCGGAGGCTTGCTCTACAAGATCAGACTGGTTCGGGTTGTCATCAAGATCATCATCTGTGAACAACATAATACAAATATATAATTTATTCCCTGAAAGATATATCGTACTGTTAGATACTGGACCATCAACGCCATTTTAATGTGATGTGGAAAACAACAAAGGAGAAGATAGTTTTTACTTTAGGTGCAAAAATTAAGTCTTATTTGTTACAAACCAACTTAGTACAATTGTATATTAACATGGAGATATATACTTGATGACTCATTGTCCATATCAGTAGCTCAAGACTTGGTGTAGGTGTTAGACTAAATATTGTTTTATCTTTGCACACATACATACATTAGGTATTTATACATGTAAAATTGTGCCATGTATTATTTATTAATGACATGCCACTGGACAGGGCTGTGTCTAGCAATGGATAGATGATGACATAATATGGAATTGTCTTATAATCTGCACCATGTATCTAAATTAGTTTTTTTGCTTAGATAGACATGTCTACAAGTATACAAATAAAGATTTTTTGGTTTCATCAATAAATAATACAAGGTTGTGTGATAAGATGATGTTTGATGGGAACTGAAAAAGCTATGTATGTTACAATGTCCCTGAGAAAGAGATGAGAAGAATATAGAATAACTGGCTGATACTGGGAGCTTGGAAAAGCGAGCAAGATTAGATGTTATTGCATGGATAGTGAATTTTATCATATAATTTGGGATAGGAGCAAGAACAAATAATATGTTTCTGACAACTCTCAGTACTAATCAGCTGCAACTTCAGTAATGAGACAAGACCATTCTTTGTTGAGTTGATAATATGCTCCTAATAGATCCACTTTGGTGATTAGCGGTAATTGATACCAAATGACAAATGTAATTACGAGTAAATTGCATTCTTTATCTTTATTGACACAGATATTTAACAATTACATTAAGGTTATGTTGTAACTAGTAACTTGTAAGAGTCCAGTTAATCAAAAGTAGGGATAAAAATGAAAAGAGGTTAGCTTTGTAAATAATTTTGAAAGTAGAACAGTATCTTCTGAGCTCTTTGTTGATTTAACATTCTTTTTTTAACATGGCAATGTAAAAGCAAGGCGGTTTATAAACAGTCTGCCTGCCTCATTATGATGATTGATTGTAATAAGGTATATAATAATATGTTATGTACTCACCAGGCTCCAAGTCTAGGATCATGTCCAGGGCTTGTCTGTAGTGTGGCACCTGCTCATTTAGTCCCGTCAAGTTGAATTTATCGTTAATGTAATCTTCATCCACCTAAAACAATAACATGTTGGATCAATATCCGTAGCCATCACCACATAAGAAACTACACTTGAATGACATACCTCGCAAAAGAACTCATTTCCCCGAAGCCCGCAAAACCATGAAATCCATGACACCTCCTCCGAGCTGCTCATTTTCCTTAAAAATAAGATTGTTTGATAAGCGAAAACCGTTTCCGTTCCAAGTTTCGGACATAAAAAATCCAACGCTTCGGAGTCCACACTGTTACTACAAAATTCTAAGCATTCCAATGTTTTCACCTGTTTTTTCACGAGTTTATGTTAGTTCACACTGAAATCTTAACACGGTCTACCAAATTCACTATGATTACGAAGAGATATATGCTAAATAAACAGAATTAAATGCAATAAAATGATGACAAACCTCACCTTTTCGTGCCTTGATTAGCCACGCTTGACGGGAGGGTATCTTGGGATGAGGGAGAGAGAATTTCAATAGTATGTATGGGTGACACAAAATATAGCCAACATTGTCTATGGTCCTTTGTAAACTATTGATGTAATTCATTCGTTCATTCTTTTTACTTTTTTAATCCATCTTGAAAACACGGGCTTTTGACATAAAATACTGTTTGTTTTTAAAAAATGTGGTAATTATAACCAAAATCACAAGGAACTCAATTAATTAAAAAATCGATATCGCGGTCTGCATGGTTATATATATTAAAGTCTTAATATTTTCTAATCACCTAAAATAACGACAAATAAGTAATATGTATTGCCATTTTTTTGGCATAATTCGCCGAAGTAATCCCACATACAGAATAGAACTGATCTATATATATATCACTTACAGGATAATTCCGACGAATCAATTAACATTTCTGAACTTTCTTTGCACATTAGATATTAAATTAAGATTTTGGAGGGTAGAGAGCGGCTTATTTTCATGTATCAGAGTACCAGTAGATCAGACCCATCATGTACCCAACGAAATCTCTAGATTCGTGACTCAACAACTAAGTTCAGTGTTTATTAAATCTAAGTAAACTAGAATAGCGCAGAGTTCAACTCGAAAATTAAACCAGAGATCCCTCACTTGATTGGTTACACGGGGTTGTACCATGGGTGGCACAGACCAACGCAACAACGCCATCAATTAACTGTTTGTAATGAAATGAAATAATGAATTTATTTTTGTAGATAAGGCAACAAATTCACTTTAACACGGCAACATTTAAAACATTTTACCAGGCTTAGAATAGTTACTAAAGAAAACACAACATGAAAATAAACCCTCTATTTAAAATTCAATTTTATTAATACAATTAGGATTTTTTTTTTAAATTAAAAAAAAAAAAAAAAAAAAAATTAATTTGTTCATATTTCATCTGAGAGTTTTGGATAGATAGGACCATAATGTTTGATTATTGTCATTCAAGACAAGAAACTAAATAGGATGACCGAACTGAATTTGAAAGAGTTTATATAGGTATACAAAACACTTTAATGTTTCAAAGATATTTAATACATTCAAAATAAAAAAATAGAACTATAAAACAATAAAAGAATTATCAAAGGCATTTGTGCCAATATTAGTATCTTAAAGGATTATCATTTAGCTTCTCGTATTATTAAAATATGCTCCAACTATTATCACAGACCTTTACCATGTCCAATATCATTCCTTTTCATTCACATTATTTAACATTCCATTAATTTCTTTCCAAATTAGAGGAGCACACACGACATTTTCTGTAATATAAGATACAAAAAAACTTTACAAAAATACAGAAACACTAAAATATAACAAAATTGTTCACTAACATATTTACATGTTTTTGTCTTGTGTGTATGTATACATACATAAAATAAAAATAAACTAAATAATAAAATAATAACAAAATAAAAATATTTTATATATTATTTCATCTAAGCCCTGGCTTAGCTGAAGTGTCACCAAAGTTGGTTTAGTAATTACCTGAATTGTAACTTTATAATACCTATTTACAATAAAAAAAGTTGTTATAAGATTTTATTATAATCTTCTAACTCTCAAGATTTAGAAGAGATTATGATTGTTGAGTGAGTCTCGGTCTTGAGACTGAGTTAACCAATCATTGTAGTGATCATAAAATCTTACCACATATTGAGTATCAAAAATGTAGTGTAGAGTATTAAAATATAACAAAATATTGTACTTTCTTAAGTTTAATTTTAAACTTACTCTATGACTGACTGAATCAGGGTACGAGAGAACTGGAACAAATCTTTAGCCAGTTCAACATCATGTAGATTCTTCCATCCTTCAGACTCTAACACTTTTGGATTCTTCGCAATGTAAGTATAAACTCGTTTCACTAAATCGTGTAATTTAAATTTCTTTGCAACTATTGCCATCTCTATTGCATTTTCTGGATTGATCTGGTCACCAATCACATGCTGAGTTAAAGTAAACAGTTGAGTCAACTCAAACCTATCAGCTATCTGTAGCAGCTTTACACAGTCTTCTTCCAATATATTTTTTATTGTTCCTGTATATATAAACTCTAAAAGCAGCTCCATATCTTTATCAGTTATATCAATAAACAATGAGGGGACATCAGTCTCCTTGATCATTTTCATTAGCACCGGGCTATGTGCAGCCAGCAGTATCTTGTGTGTTGGGAACTGTTTTCGAGAAGCAGATTCAAGTATATAATCTGTTGTTTCTTGCTTTGTTAAAAGACCACTTAAATCATGTTGCAGTTTGATAGCTTTTACAATATCACTGTTTAGTTCAAACTTTGGGTTCACTGTTATTTTTATTGGTATGAATAAAGTGCAGGATTTGTTAAATCTATCTAATTTTTTAAAACAGAAAGTTTTGATAAAATAGTTTTGATTTGCTTTGATGGACTTGAAGTTGAATTTGACCATATCTGGAGGCAGTAACAAATAGGGAACATCATCACCCGGTGCAACTTTTTGTGTCAAGTCACTTGAACTTGCTACTTCTATGGAAAATGTTCCAGTTTTCCTATGGCACACAAATAAATTAAGTAGATGGTTGTCTCCGTGGCACACAGACACGGTATAGAAGAACCAAAATTCTGGATCGTCATCTGCATAAGTGCCTCCAATATCATAGTCCCCAGTCCCATTTAACTTGACTAGTGCATCATGAACACAGAGCTTGGTTGCATTACTAGTCATACATTTGAATGCTGCTGATACAGCTCCAATGGGGCCCTGGAAAATAGAAAATAGCAACATCACACTTGATACAAATATAATTTCAAACAACAAGGTTTATAGACATTCTTATGTGCATCTTTTCTAGGTTTCAAAATATTAAACTTTAAGTCTTGGATCTCATACTCTCTAACTTTAGTTAAAAAACAATGAAATACATGGTTTTGAACCATCTCTTTAAAGTCAAAACTATAGTTAGTTATTATCTTCCGTGTCGTGGGTGTGTTTACAAACATACACATGACACCCAGACCCGAAACAACAATTTGTGGATCACACAAAGTGTTGTTCCGTGTGGGTATCGAACCCGCGACACATTGCACGGCAGCCGGTTGCCCAGCCACCACACCAACCGTGCAGTCAATTAAACCAGGAAGACACTTTTAAATGCCAACAACAATTTAAAAGTGAAGCTATTTGCTCATTCAAAGGTGTAGAACGAGCAAGAAACTCCACAGGTTAGTTTATCTTCGATCAGGTGCACAATACAAAATTCTGGTTAATAAACTTTAATGATCTTAAAAAGAATATCACGCATGGGTTTGTGTAAAATATAATCATTGGACTTTTCAATTTCCAAATGTTGTCTAAAACCATTATCAGTAAGTATATGGTAATAGGCTGCTGGCGCATAGTAAGGATCAAATCAAATGACATATTTGTTATAATTATATTCTATTACTGCTCTTTCTGACAATGAAGGTATGATGATAAATACCTGAGGTCTTACTTCTTCTGAAATGGAACTGGAGCTAGAATTTGAACTTTCTCCATACCGGTGCATAAAGGGCTCTGCATCCATAAAAGCTTCATGGTCCATGGTTCCCTGTAAATTAAATACATAACATATATTAAAATTTAATTAAAGATGGTGTCTGATTCAATTACAGTTTTTGTTTAAAATTTAGCTAGAGATATTACAAATGGTCACCAGCTCTTCTAGTCTAGGAATAAAGTTGTAAAACATAGAAAATAGCATTAAAGTTTTGTTATAGCATAAAACATGTAGGTAGACAGAAAATATTCTAACAGGTAGGCACGTTTCTTTTCTTTAAGCCCTGAAGCTTATCAAAATTGGTGAATAAGCAAAGATTATCTATTGTTTATTATCTTTTTTAACATTACATAAAAATGGATGCATGCAAGGAACTTCTAAATGACACCCGGCCAATATAGTATCCTTTTACTAGCTTATTATTTTTATTTGTGTTCGATTTCGTCTGGGGACGGATTATAGGAATTTATTCTTCGATAACAATTTTACCGGCAAAGTCGGGTAACAGGACATGCGAAACCTGTGAAGACTATCAACAGTTAGATTATAATAAAAAAATACTGCGATGTAAAAATACTATCCGCTTGAGTGTAATCTTTACATTGCACCATAATTTGAAAATTATTTCATTTAAATTACACTAGAATCCTTACCTATAAAATATAATACTTATATTTAGATACATACCGTTTTAAACAAGGCTTCGGGATTCTGAAGGAATACAACACAGAAACCAATATAACAAGTAATACTGCGTACTGTTTATTACAAGAAAAACTTAATTCCACTCAATAATGAGTAATTCCGTATTACTCATAAACAGACATGAAGCAAAACACTAAAATAATCCGTGTATCAATCTATTATCTATCAATCAATGAATCCACAGATAAAAAATGACTATTGTCGAATAGTCGAATGAATGAACGACATGTAGATCATAGATAGGTAAGTAACTATGTCTCAGCTCTATTATATGTCTATGCTCTAGCCAAATGAACCAAAGAGACGACTGAGACGAGAATAAAATAGTTCGTTTTCATTGTTACTTGCAACATTGTAGTATGTAGTCTATGGATCAAACAGCACAGTCGAATGTCGTCAACGTAAACGGAAACGGATATACTTATTAAATATGATTGTCGTAGCGCCAATATTTGAATTCGTATTTCTACATTGAGATTAATACACTATTTTGATACTATACATATTGACACTCTATTTAATCTTTAGCGTGTTAAAATGTTAACTAACTGCTACTGCTACTATTATCTCAAAAGACTTTTTTCATAAGAAATCACCTCTATTTTATTAGCAAAATTCTAAATTGCTCGCATAATACAATCATATACATCTTATATCTAGGATATCATAAATAATTATAGTTAATATATAATGAATTATTAATTAATAAATAATTACTTAGAGGCCAAAACCTGAAGCCCAAGAAATGTCTGTGGTTAGATAGAAAGTCGCATTGTCTTGTTCTATCGAGGATGGCTCCAAATGACAGCAGAAAGCGCAAATCTACTGTACGCATGCGCGACCCGGGATTCGCAACAGAACTGCCTGGCACCTCCCCCTCTGGGCATTAGTGATGTGCTTATCAAGTCTGTAAAATATTAATAACTAGCTTCTGCCCGCGACTTCGTACGCGTAATCCCATTTTTTCCTGTCCCCGTTCGTGATTTTCGGTAAAAAGTAAAAAAAAGTATTGGTTAAAAAGTATCATATGTCGGTTTCCTGGCTCTAAGCTACCTCACTACCAATTTTCAAAGACAATTTTCAAAGGAAAGACTAAGTTCTTATCGTTTTTTTAAGATTTTTTAGTATCAGATAATAGCTAGATAATACAAGTAGGTCGGTAATCAAAATGTAGGTTATCAATACCTACTTTATTTTCGCGAAATAAGTGTCTTGGGACGGACACTTTAGACAGTTTAGCTAAGTTTGTGAAAAAGCCTCATAATGCAGCTTCCTCGATAACAACAGATAACTGTGGGTACCCAGCCCTACGCTGCACCATTTTCAAGGACACATCTTTCAGTAGGCTGCAAGCAGCCGGCGTGGCCGCACGATGCCAGTCCCGCGATGACAACACCACGCGAACACCGTCCCAACGACACTGTTGAGTTATTACCTTTAAAATCTGCTCTAGTCAACAATAATTATAAAGATGAAGACTCGTATTACCCGCCTCCTCTCAACAACAACCCGTCGAGCTCCAATCTCTACGACTACACACTACTGTCGAAGAGGACGCCGGCCTCTAAAAGGTATTTTTGTTTATTTTCTGAGTGATCAGTATTCGGTTTTGATTTGAAGATCGAAGTGTGACATCTTGGGAATTGACAGTAATTTATATTATGCCCGATTGTGCTTGATGAATTAAATAAAAGAAAGAATAAGGAGACTTCGCAGTTCTGATTGACACTTGCTTACCTATTTTTGTGTAATTAAGTAGATGTATTTATGCCGATTATAACTTGTTTTACATATTTCATTAATTGCAAAAGTATGGTGTCTATTTGTAAGATAAATTACTTGTTATTTTCTTAATATTTCGGCACCGTTAATGGCATAATTACTGTCCAAGTGTCGACTAGCTTAGACCATTGTTTCAATCCCCGCTGTTGCAAGGGAATTTTTTTCTACTATTTTTTTGATTTTATGATAAGTATCGTCATTCTTGTAAGAATAATATTTTATATTTAATACTGTTTTATTTATAAGTGTTTTACTTTTAGGTGCTTTACCTTTTTATCATATTTATCGTAATTAAATATTGTGTACCAAGTAATAAATGAACCTTGTTTTTCGCTTACATCCGAAGCTTCAACTATTAGGGCACGGTCCTATTGCGATACACTGGGCACAATACATAACTTCACGGCTGTCTCCCATGGGGGTAACATCAAAAATTGTAATTAACAATATCCGAATAAAACTTGCCCTGAACGTAAATCTGTCCGGAGACCCTTTGCTCATGCAGCCATTGCACTTCTTACTACTACAAGCAAAGTCGGTTACATCTAATTTTATAATGTAAACTGTAATAAGTATTCCAATTATGATTCTAACTATTAACGGCCCCTAACTCCCCATAACATTATCCCTGGTGACCCCGATGTTACAGTAAGCGATGTATTCTGAACGGTCTTCCTCAGGGAATCGAAAGTTAAACGGCGCTGCAAGGAACTCACCTTGAATTTGAAAGAAAGAAAGAAACATTGTTTATTTGCACACCGACACAAAGTATCTACCTATGTGAAGCTATAAATTTCACTTCTAAGTATATAGGTTGCTTTTAATCTACATAGAACGGAAGTGTAACTCTAATGCAGTCGAGGAACAGAGTACGAATTAGTATAGTTTACAAATAGATTTTTAATTCGTAAAATAATCCTCATTGGTTGTATGATTTCTTATTTTAGTTTTATTAGACACCTAATCCATTAATCAAGGTTGAACTATGGGGTTTTGCCCTAATCTGAGAGTGTAGCTTACAACTTATACCATGTTCTGTCGCTGTACCATCCTAAGGTAGACTGGCAGAGAATCTCCCAATCCCTGAATCCTCAACAATCCTCAAATCCCCAAAAGCCCAGTAACGCACTTGCAACACCTCTGGGGTTCCAAGTATCAAAGGGCGACGCTGAGTGATTACCATCAGGTGCTCCGTCTGCTTATTTCCCAGCTTATCCCATAAAAACAAAAACAATGGATGGGTTGCAGATTGCAGTTTAAAAAGTTCCATAAAAACCACTGTCATCCTATCTGGCAAATGTTCGTCTACACTCTTACGAATTGCACGGTAAGAGTACTTTTAAAATGTATAATAAACAAATGTGTCCACTCTAGCACCACACCGCTCGTCTGCGATCTCTTAAAAGAGGTTACAAAAATAAATGACGTAACATAAAATAGATTCTAAAATTAGTTCAGACTCGGATCCAGATATTCTGTGTTCACCGAGAATCGGTTCTATCGAAGTGATGGGTGTCATCATCAACAGCCTATAAATGCCCACTGCTGAGCAAAGCCTCTTCTCACACGGAGAAGGTTAGAGCATTAATCACCACGCTTGCTCAATGCGGGTTGGCGATTTCAAACTTATAATTAGAAATTATAAGTCCAGGTTTCCTTACGATGTTTTTCCTTCACCGTTTGTCAGTGGTGTCTACATAATCTTAGAAAGTACATATAACTCGGAAAAAGTCACATTGGTACTTGCCGTTGGTAGGTTTCGAACCCGCACCCTCATGCATGAGAAGTGGGCGTCTTAAGCCACCGGGCCACCACGACCCGTGATGGGTGTAGCAGATAGATACATACGAGTATCTTCCTACATATGCACATTGTACATACGTGTTCATCACTACGAGTTGTAGCTTTTTCTGCTACGTAACTTATGTAACTGGATTTAGCTTATGTAACAGGTTATATCTATTGTTACATTTTGTCAATAGATTTTTCGTATTAGAATTAAGAGGGAATGAGAATAGGGTGGATGCCTAATTTTTATTTAATATCCGTCTGGTAGATTATTTTAAATCACTAGACACGTATTTATTTTCTTACAGAAACGAATACTTTCGACGATATATTGATTTGAAATGTCGCGTGACGTCACTTCTATGAACATTTTATACATAGAAATGACGTTTTAGCCCCCACTTCTAAATTTTGATTCGTTAAATCTAAGTATTATACAAAAAATAAAATATAATAATAGTGTCTAAAATTTTTTCATTACCTAACTTACGGACTAATTAGATTTTTAATTTTCATACCCCATCATCATCCCAATTGTGAAGTTTGGGATATTACGATGAGGAATTTTAGCATGAAAGCTTGAAACTCAGCAATACGAATGATTTACCAAATTATTTAACTTTACAAATTGATGTGGATGAACCTCTGAGTATTTAATATTTCGCAAATGATTTTTAGGATTTACTATAGAACAACAATATCCCTTAAATCCTCATTAACTAATTTCTATAAACTATTTATTATGCCTTTGCGTTTTGCGTTTAGATTACTATCACGCACCCAGCAGCCTGCGCCCACGCCGATGTTGACGTTATGCGGCGCGCCGCCCCCCTCCAGGAAGAGAGAGGAGCTGACCGCGCTTGCCAACCTCAGGAAGAAGGTCTCACCTGCCTTACTGCAACCTGAACGGTAAGTGAATTTCAAGATAAAATAAATAAAGAATATGAAAAATATTGATCCCAAGTTGGGCGCCAATAAGAAAATCTAGAGGTATAATATTGCGTGTTGAGTTAACTAACATCTCTTTCAATGCATTCTGACGCCAACGTAATTGATAGTGTAGTATCGAATAAGACACGACTTCCATATCTAGAGCTACTTCAGTATAGATAATAAATTTATGTAAAAAAAAAATGAAGGCAAATACCGACCTGCCTAATGAAAATTAAATGCAAACAACGCTGTGGTTACCCTGGTTACGACACCTTTAACCACAGTTTGGTTACATATAAAATTAGCTTCTCGTTTTACTTTAGCGGTGTTTATTAGTTTTTCTTACATATGACTCAAAAAATATCGGATTAATTCAAATGGATTTACTTGTTATTACATTTTCAAAACAGATGTTATAATAATAGTAGCATTGTAACATATCTCACAAGGTGTACAATAGTTTATGTTATTTAATTAATGATTATTCCACTTCAATATTTTAAATATTCATTTGTGTTCTTGAGTCGCAAAATATTACTAAATTTATAATGTACCCGTTGTTACAATAAGAAGAATGGCAATGAGCTCTAAATATTGGCTTCAAATTCTAATTTTCTTGCCCCCTCGGCTTTTTATAACAGTCCATCTTATGAGTCCCACGTTGGGCGCCAAAATGTAAGTTAAGCGAATTCATCATAGTATAAAAATCCGTCATATCACACTATTAAACCTTTTCACTATACCATTCAATTATGTTGTTGAATAAAACACTCGCATTTCAAACCGCCGGCCATTTAGCTGGCACTATACAATTTAGCGATCTGGCTTGCACATCGCGTGCGGCGTTTCACTCCAATACCTGTCAAGGTTCACGAAGGTGTGCAGAGGGGGGGAGGGGGAGATAAGTGTAACAATGGAATGCTGCCTTATAGTTTCCTCAATATTCTAAGAATAGCCAGGTTATCTTGAAAGGGGCAACATTTCCGTCGTTTTCTTCATACTTGACCGGTTTCCTGGCTACCATTCACCTACTATAATGCCACAGTATAAAAATCATAATAATACTTAGTCACAGTCAAAGTATTGATTTCAATTAATCCTTAATTAGGTGTAGTTATCCGTTTTTGAAACGTCAAAAATTAAATTGTCCGTCCGTCCGTCTGTCAGTGAAGCTAGGCGCTCGTTCCAAAGTGTAGTTTCGAATGGAGAAGAATGAGAAAGAAATCCCATCGTTACTCTTTTAAATTTTTTTTCTACAATCTCGTTGATACAGTATCTGATCCTTTACCTATTTGTACGTATGTAAATTACATTACTTTACATAGACACTAGCGACCCGCCCCGGCTTCGCACGGGTGCAATTATAAAAGTTATTCCAGAATGTCTCGATTTCAAAAATTGATTTTTTTTCATTATAATAGCTAATGCAATAAAGTCAACATTTATCACTGATTCCTATTATACGCTTTATTGCAAACTCAACAAAAATAAATATGGCGCGCTTGACATTACACACTGGCATATATTTAATTGTTCAGAACATTCTTGAAGTGCAATTATTTGTTCGTCCTATAGAGGGAGTCTTAAACCGCTCCAGTGCTTGACCTCTCAACCACTTTACACCGAGCGACGTTCTCCTTTAATCAAAGTCGAAGAGGGCTTACATATGGATGGTACTTCATACTTCATACTACTTTCATGGTGGGCGGTGAATGCGTCATTCATATCTTATATGAACTTAGTTCTTTAAAGAATGATAATATTTATGTATATAGGGTGTATATGTGTGGCACGAGGTGTTAGAAGTATGTTTAAGCAGCCTTAAGATGTCTACACTACTTGAGCAGCTTTTTTTTAATCGGGAAAATCATCGAGACTTCTCCCGCCTGGGTGAGGCGAGAGGGAGTGTCAGACTTTAACTGACTAAAAACCACCCCGTTCCTACTCCTGCACTTCGAGCCGGAGCCCCGGTAACCCGTTAAGTTCTCCGCGGCTCCGAATCGGCACTTGAGCAGCTTCACTACATAGTATAAAACAAAGTCGCTTTCCGCCGTCTGTCTGTCCTTATGTATGCTTAGATCTTTAAAACTAAGCAACGGATTTTGATGCAGTTTTTTTAATAGATAGAGTGATTCTTAAGGTTGGTTTTTATGTATAATACAAGTATATTGTACGAAGCCGTGCGAAGCCGGGGCGGGTCGCTAGTTAGGATATATTTTAAGACGAGAGACGATTTCGTATAAATAGCTTTAGTACTGAATTTGTAAAATAGGTACGTCAGAAGCCGGATGGTATCAAGTTCAGCTCGACAGTCTCACGACAAATGCACTTCAGCAACAATATCTCACTACATAATTTACATTGCATAAGACTGCCTTCTCGTTACACAATGACAATGGATTCAGCAGGCAGTGAGCTCTGGACAGTACTATATTATTCATTATGATTACGCTACTAGCAAGCCTTGTACACAGTATGCGATATATGGATGTTATATATAGGACATGTTAGATTTTTTTGAGTTAAAAGAGGTTGTATACTTAGTTTTTCATACACATTACCTTTATGTTAGCTGTTGAATTTTATATTAGCGCCCAACATGGGACCTAAGCGCATATACCTCTAAAATACATCCACCAACAATGGTTGGCTGGACTATATAACTCATTGTAGATTATATTTAAATAATGCGGCCAAAGGCTACATACACATTTTTTGTTTATGAACCACATTGGTCCTCATGCATGTTTAATTGTTAGGTATTAATATAATGTTTTGTTCTCAGAAACGCCAATAAAAACGACAACGAACAAAATAAGAATAGTAATGAAGAGACTCTCGACAATCGGCCCAAGCTTTTACAAAGGGTAAGTACTAGTTTAAACTCATTTTATAAAATAAATATGTGATATTTTTAATCGTTAGTCGCAAACCAAACACAAAATTAATGAAATTAAATGATTTAAACTTACCTCTACAACAGCTTCATAAGTATTTATAATGCGCAAAAAGGTCTTGAAGGTGTATCAGCCTCATTAAAAGTTTTACGAACACGTTCGAATTTAATTTGAAACTTTTGAAAAATAACGTACTTAACTTGTTCTCAAGAACGAGCGGTAACGTCCATGAACTTTTAAACATGGCGGCGAGTTTGGCAATGGTAAGAACTGTACATCCTATATGAATTGTTTCATTGTTTACGTAATGTAATATGCATAATATTATGATCTCGTGAAATGGCACGCGTCCTTGACCTGAGATACGGAAGTGTTTTTACCGGCGAGGTACCGATCGTGCTCACTGAGCCGTTTCGAACCATGAAAATGACCTATGATGTGACAAAAAGGGGAAACCTTTCCTCAAAGTTGGGAATTGGATAACGTTGGGTGACATTTGTAGGTATTATGTGTTTATGTAACATTGGTACGTAGTGAGATATTTTCGGAGCTTTTGTATGGGTTAAAAACCGTTGTAGAGTTTGTTAAGCTTTGTTTTCGAGGGTCGAGTGCGTACCTATGTATTTCTGTTTCTGTTTGTACCAGTGGTCTTATGTCTACAGATGTGTGAATATTTATTTCGTCGGTTATTTCGTTTTATACGCACAATTTATTTGGGTACCTCACTCAGTAACTAGTTTGTTTACTAGTATAAGGTACAGTACAGGTAATTAAATATTATAATGGGTCCAATCTAATACTGCATAATGGACAGATACCTAATAATGCTAACGATATGCTTTGCGTACATGAACCACTACAACAATCAACGCCATCTTTTCTACAGAGCTTTTTACAACTGTTGGAGAAATATAGACTATAATGCAACGTACGTAGGTATTAAAAGCGGCGTAGGCTCAAAAAATGACCGTACAAAAAGGCCAAATCACCACAAGTTCATTTATCACTGACTCAACACTATCTCGACGGGAAAACTATTTTCACTCGCCTTAAAAAACTCGTTAGTACTAATCTACTGAAATTGGTCCCGAAATACGGAACGAAACATTTTAGGCAAGGCCATTATTAATATCCGAATATCAATAATATTGGACTGACCCGGCTGATACATACCGTGGTAACTATATCTATATTACTTAAAGAATTTCGTGTACAGCATCTTAGAATAAGTAACTTAACTTAATAGTTTGCTCATATGTCGACGTGCTCCGTCGTAGACCGCATCATCGCTTACCACCAGGCGAGATAGTGGTCAAACGTCGGCCCATCAAATATAAAAAAAACCAGTGTACATTTGTAGTTCCAACTTGAAATATAATCTATTGGTTTTTGTCATTAGGTATAGTAAAGTATATTTTATTACCTTAACTTCGTTATCTACTTCATACTTTCTTTTTACAATTTTGCACCTACCGCTTTAACATTCTGCACCACCCAATGGTCGACTGTCAGAAAATGCCTACGGCATTAAGTCCGCTAATTTCACTGTATGTGCAATAAAGTTTTAATAAATAAATAAATATAGTGAGCGAATTCAGGTATTGCACATCAGCCTACAATTTCTCTATTTTACCATATCCGTATTACCAGGAATAATAGATAAAATCTTCAAAGATCAGCTACTGCACCAAACTGCCTAGCTTGCATATCCTAGATAAACCCAGATAATTAGGTCTCCGCGTAACCTCACTCACACGACGGAACACAACGCAAGCGTTGTTTCACGTCGGTCTTCTGTGAGGCCGCGGTATCAGTCCGGTCGAGCCGGCCCATTCGTGCCGAAGCATGGCTCTCCCACACTATAATAGAGATTTGGAATAGAGGTAGAATATGGTCTAGAATAACAGACAGGTTACCTTTTATCCACGGGAACGCGGGCGAAGCCGCTGATAGAAGCTAGTAATTGATTAAATGGAATTCTAATAGGTACGTTACGTGATACTTTATTATCCTACACGTATTTACCTATACTGCCTCGTTGGCCGAGTGGTCGTAAGCGCGTCCGCCGGGCAAGGCGTCTCGGTTTCAATTCCCGGGTCGGGCAAAGTATCACTGGGTTTTTAAATATTCTCAGTAGTAGCACGGAGTCTGGAATTGTGTCTGGTATTATGGCAATAGGCTCACTCCCTATTACATGGGACTCATAACATAAATAGTGAAAAGTGGGTGTTACATTGTACAGTGGTATAATGTGCACCTCTGCCTACCCCTTCGGGGATAAAAGGCGTGATGTTATGTTATGTTATGTATTTCCATTTTACAAGGTTTTCTTTAGTTTTTATTTACTTTAATATTACACAATATTGGTTTCAAAACAAGGCTAGTTAGTTACATAAAATAACATACATACAACTATACGAGCTTATCTTTATATCGAACTTTGCCTTAATATTCCCGCTCTACTTCATCACAAAATGTAAGTTGCCAAGAACACAGAGACAAAGTCCGAAGAGAATCCTTTTTTTCTTTGAAAACCTCGTTAGTCGATAGATGTTCGGGTTGCATGATAATTTGGTACTTTGTCACCAATTTCTGGGCCAAGTGCGTCTCTCACATCGAGATTTAAGCACCCCTCGGCTAAAGAAAAGGGTTTTTTCAGATTTATCGTATAAAACAAGGGAGCTGTGAGAGCCTTTTGAAAACGTATTAGGTAAAATGCGACATTGGGTGATGTAGTGTCAGGAATGGTAGTAGATATATTTATGTCATGCATATTGCTAACACTGAATAAATTGTCATAATGTTACACATAATAATAAGACACATTACCTATATTTTTTGGAATTAAATTGTTTTGAAGGCCTCTTGGCCTTGGCCGAAAGTCAATCTGGAGACTGGACTTGTGCCAGTACCAGTAATAGATTAGAACCTATGACAGTGTGATAAGTCACTGTTAGATTATATCCTAAGAATTTCCCTTTAGAAGTAGATATAATAAAATGTGGAACCCAAAATTATCCTGGTACGGTATAATATGACATACGCCACGGCATATAGTAAAATTATTTCATATTTTATATTCATAATCCTCCTGTTGATTTCCCCTGAGTAGGAAACAGAGCTATATTCAGAAAAATGAAATAAAATAATACAGCACCTTCTCAGAGAAACACATCACAAACACCGTATTTTCACGTGTAGTGTGCAATCATTAGTCTTCCTTTACTAGTGTGAGTAAACAGCTAGTAAACAAAACAAAAGGCAATCATTCCTTACACCACTTTCGACAGGAAATGACGGTTCCGATTGTTTACAACACACTTTGTAGATTACGGAGGCAAATAATGACAGGTTTACAGTAACAACACCACACGAACAACTTAGGAAAATGGCGCAATAAAGCTCAGTACACAATGTTCTAGCGTCCGCCATATTGAATTTTAAGTTTTGGCGGTAGGAAGTAGCTGGGTCTGTGGGCGGATGTAACAACGTACATAGACTATCTAGGTATTGGAAATACGGGTCTGTGCCGATATTGAACGTTGAAACTGCAACTGCACCGCAAAGGCGCCGTATGTTCTTACTTACATAGGTACCTATACGTAGCCATCTAAATTTTATAACCTTTTTATATCACGTCCGATAGTTTCCAGCACGAAGCTCTTTATTTAATTTTAAAGGTATCTGTAGGAAGTCATGAGTCGACCTAAACGAGTTTAAATTTAAAAAAGATCTGCGAAATGACCGATTACATAAGTTTTTGAAGGTGTAAGTTGCTTACACTTGTGCTTAGTTTCAAATTGCATTTCAATGAAATATAACCATTAAATAAAACCACCTTATTATTCAAGAACTAATTCTTATTTCAAAAAAAAATCCTAACGACAGTAAATTTACTGTTACCTAGCAACCATAACCTATTCTATTATCTGTGGCTCGCGAGCTCGTCCTTCAATCTACATCCTTACAAAACGTTATTATTACGTCTGATTCAAAATTCCACGTTCCAGTCATTCCAGTAATCTCATAATTTGAAATGAAATAACTTTTCTGAACTGGGAATGGTCGTAACTTCCCCATTGAGTTGTCCTTGACCTGAGCACCCTTATTTGTGTCGAAACGAAGTTAATTAGAAGATTTAGGACAAAAGGCTGTTTCGAATTCTATTTAGTCGTCTCGTAAATAAAACATTAATGATGTTTATTTAGAGGTACGTATGTATGTGCGTCGGTTGAGATATTTCTTATTGGGTATTTGAAGAAGGCTTTGCTGAAGAAACATGTTTTTTATTACACTGTTTGCTACGTTTGCCAAGTGGTCGCATGTGCGACTGCCAGGCAAGGGGTCTTGGATTCGATTCCCGGGTCGGGCAAAGTATTACTAGGTTTTTAAAAAAATCTCAGTAGTAGCACGGAGTCTGGAATTGTGCCCGGTATATGGCAATAGGCTCACCCCCTATCACATGGGACTCATAACATAAATAGTGAAGAATGGGTGTTACATTGTACAGTGGCATAATGTGCACCTCTGCCTACCCCTTTGGGAATAAAAAGGCGTGATGTTATGTTATGTTTGCTTCGCTTGTACGGTGTTTTTAACCGCTTGAATGCACCGATATGAGACACAATAGAAAATACATTGTGTCTCGCGTGGATCCACGTTTAGACAAACGAAAGGTTAACGCCGCCTGGGTGAGGCGAGAGAGAGTGTCAGACTCTTACTGACTAAAAACTACCCCGTTCCTGCTCATGCACTTCGAGCCGGAGCCCCTGTAACTTGTTAGGTTCTCCGCGGCTCTGTATCGGCTACGCTGGTACGGTTCGGATAAAGTTTTTCAACTGCAGAGTTCATTGAAATATATACATACTAGACAACCTCATTAGATTAGATAAAAACCTAAACTCGTGTTTTGTATAAAAAATATAAAGGCAAGGACTTATTACGAGGTAGTTTCTCGTTTAAAATAATCG